CTCACTTTCTCTGTAACATTTTTAAATAGAAGTTGTCACATTAAAGCCCATTATTGAGTCAGATTATAAGTGTAGAGATTTGAAGTAAGTGATGTTTAACCTTTATGACTTGAGGACATACTTATTCCTATAAATTTAAAGAGTGTATTAAATGAGTTTTCAAAGTTTGTTTCAAAGGTGTGGTGCCTTCCTTTTGTACTAATCATGTATTTGTAGGAGGGAGAAGTAGCAATTACAGATATTGTAGCCCATGGTAACAGTTTGTTATCTCCATCCCACCTCTTCCTGTGGTATGGACAGGTAAAACTTTGCCCCTCAGTGGATACAATACAGTCACAACTTAAAGCTGCCATATTGTTGCCACTGTGCTATAGTGTTAAAAGTGGTCACACTTGATAATTTATCTTTGTGATGAAAAAATTTAAAATACTCTAACAAAGAAAAAAAATTGAGGATGGGACAATGGCAGTGTGAAGCATTTGTGGGGTCCCCAGCCAGGGATCACTAACTAGACAGATAATTAATGCTGGTCTAGAGCACAGAAGATAGCAAAAGATAGCAATTCAGTATTAGCAACATTTTTTCCTCTCTACTAGGTCATTCCCATTCATTAAGACATTCTGTAGAAACTTTTTATCCCGTCTTGTTATACAAACAAAACAAAACACTCTTTTCTCTGTTTATCTCCTTCCACATATGCCTCCATATTTTCTGCTTGTGTTAAAGCAAAACACCTCAGAAGAGTCATCTGTACTGCACCTCATCTTCTCTCAGGTTCTTAGTCTGTTCCAGCCAGGTCTTTGTTCCCCCTTACTCAGTGCTTGTCAAGGCAGTTGACAGCATCTAGCCAGAACCCACAGTTAGTACTCAACCCTCATTTCTTAGACCTCTTAAGTCTCATTTGACTCAGTTGATCATGTGGTACTTCTGAAACATTTTCTCTTCTTGGTTTCTAGTGTACCACTGTACTCTGAGCTTGTTTTTTAATTGATAAATCCTTACCTTTGTGGGACTTCTTTCTGGGTATGGTATTTGACTAGTTCAAGGCACAAAATCCAGCTTTTTTTCTGCCTCTAGGTGTCCCCAGCTGCTCTCATCCAGTGTTATAACTTTAAATGACTCTAAGTAATGTCTGGTGGGCATCTCAAATTGGGCATACGGGCCCCTGTCTTGTGAGCTCTTCTCCAACTTGTCTCCTTCCTCATCTCAGTAAATTTCTATCTACTTTCGCATCCCACACCCTACCCTCAAGCGGGTCTTCTTGCTCTACTTTCAGCATGTAACGGAAAAAAGCCATTTTCAAGACCTTTGCTCTTCCCACAATCTGTGCTCCCACAGTAGCTCATATTTTATTTATTCCTTCACTGGTCTTCCTTGCTTGTCTTCCTGTAGTCTTTCATATAGTAATCAGTGATTTTTTAAAATGACATAAATCCTATTTCACTGTTTAGGCCCCCTCCCAAAGAATTGAGATATAATTCACATACCATAAAACTCTCCATTCTGAAGTAGTGCAGTTCAGTGACTTAGTTTACTTACGGGGAGTGTAGCCATCACTGTTTCCAGAACATGTTCACCACTCCAAAAAGTAGCCCTGTGCCCTCTGGCGGTCACTCCCCATTTCCCCTGCCTGAAGCCCATGACAACCGCTATCTACTTTCTGTCTCTGAAGATTTACCTCCAGTGGCCCCATAAATTCCTTGCTGTGGCCTTAGCCAGTGGTTCTTGGAATGTGATTTCTGGACCTGTAGGTCCACACCTGGGAGCTTCTTAGAAATGGGGAAGTCTTAGTCCCCATCCCAGATGCACTGAATCAAGCTACTCTCAGGGTGAGGTCACATACTTGTTTTAACAACCTCTGTCCTTGATAAAGTTTTCGGACGCAGAGCTCAGAAAGCCATGTGTGATCTGGCTTCCGCTTGCCTCATTGAATTAATCTCCAGTAATCCTTTCCTCTTGCTCCCGCTGCAGTGGCCTCCCCTTCCACAAACACGACCAGCTTGCTCTGTCCTAAGGGCTTCTATATTTGTTTTCACTGCTTGGTGTGTTCTTCTCCGAGACCTGAGATGGGCTTGTATCCCACCTCCACTTTCCTCTACCTCGCCTTGTGCCTCAGGACTATGACTTCAGTAGATGGAACCAGTACTCCTCTTGCTACCTGGCTTCTCCTTGGGTTTGCCAGTGGGGAGAAGGAGGATAGGAAAGAGAGGGAGTCAGCTTTGGCTATTGATTCTTGGCTGGACCCTGTGGGTTCATTGTGCCCCTTTCCACACGACAAGGTTCTTTTCTCTGTCTCTTTCTTTCCCTCTGTCTCTGAACTTTCATACTGTGAGCAGTGTGAGCTATTTAGCAAAGATTATTTTTACATTAGAACCCAGCCATATGTAGCTAATTTATAAATACTGACTGAATGGAAAGAATGTTGAGACAGAAGTAGGATGACTGTAGCAGGGAGTAAACTGTGTACTCTATGTAAGACCATCTAGCAGTACCTAAATAATGACTTACCATGAAACAAATCTGAGGTAAGATGGTATATTGTGGGCAAAAATATTACTCTAAAAGGCATAGCTAGTGGCAATGACACACTTGGCACAGTGTAGACTGAATTCAAGAGAGCCTTTACCTGTATGCTGCTTTGGAAGGCAATGACAAGGTAGTAAGAGTAGGTAGAGCTGAGACTGTGGAGGAAATCAGGCTTGGATTTGGATCTTAGCTTTGCCATTTAAAAGGTGTGTAACTGGGCACGTCACTTACTTCATCTCTCTGTGCTTCTTTGTCTTCATCTGTAAAATGCAACACCATCTAAAAGCATACATCTATATATGCTTGTTACATAACAGACATGGTTCTAGGTGCTGTAACTACAACCCCGAACAAAGACAAGAACCCTTGACTATATGACACTCACATTCTGGTGGGGCAGTCAGATTATAAAAAAACAGTTAAATAACATCTATAATGTATGGGGGGGGTGTGTGTGTGGTGTTGGAATTGTAGGTGGGGTGGCCAGGGAAGATTTAAATGAGAGGAGGACAGTTGTGTAAAGACATGAAGGAAATGGGGAAGTCAGCTATGTTGGCATACAGGGAAGAGCAAGTGCAAAGCTTTGAGGTGGGACCATGCCTGAGACAGCATGGAGGCCACTGGTGGAGCAGAGTGTGGGATAGAAGTGCAAAGGATTGTAAAGGTAATGAGAGGCGGGTGTTGGTGTAGGTAGGTCCCATAGGACATTGTCAGCATTGGCTGTGTGCTGGCACCTAGTAAACACTTATTAAATGGTAGCTTGTACAGAACTTAAAGACTTACTTTTTTGTTTTTGTTTTTTTGTGGTGCTGGGGCTTGAACTCAAGGTCTACCCCTCGAACCAGTCCATCAGTCCCTTTTTTGTGATTTTTTTTTTTGAGATAGGATGTCTCCAATTGTTTGACCAGGCTGGATTTGCTTTGAACCGTAATCCTCCTGATCTCTGCCTCCTGCGCAGCTAGGATTACAGGCATGAGCCACCGGCTCCTGGCTTAAATAAAGACTCATTTCGAAGATGAGGAAGCTGAGTTTCAGAGAGGTGCCCTTCCCTATGGTAGTCTAATTATGAACAGATCTGGGGTTCCAATCAGATCTCTTGCCTGGGAATCCAGACAAATGTCAGTCACTGGCCTGGCATCAGGACTGTAGTTAATTATTAAAATCACCACAGAACTGACCTTCATACTCAAAAGAAGAAGTGGAATCAGCTCCTGTACTTGCTGATAATGCTGGTATTAATCCCATGGAAAAAGGGGGCTGTATGTAGGAACATGTCTGTCCTCGTTCTATTTGCAATTTTGCTTTTGAGTAAATGAAGCTGTTAGTTTTCCAGAAAGTAAAAGACCAAAGAGTTTGGTTAAATGGAACATTTTCTAATTATTTTCCTGCTAGAAAGGACAGCTTAAAGACTAGAGGACAGATCAGAAGAACAGAATTGTACCTTGACCTTCTCATTTCAGTAGACAGGTAGATCACTTCTCAGAGTCTTTTTCTTCATTTATAAAGAGAAAATAATACCTGCTCTGTTTAAGAGTTGATGTAAGTTTGTGAGATACTATGAAAGAGGAGGTGGGCAAAGGCAGGGTGCTATTACATTACATAGTAGCTTTTTATTTGTTGATACAGTGCATTTAGTATGTATACTATGTATACAGTATTTCTGTAATTTAATAAATGTCTTCAATTTCATATTTACAAAGAAAACAGTTACTATTTTTGAAGTGATAAATTTCAAAGAAAGTTTTGGTGCCAGTGGAGAGTCTGGAAAAGTACTACTTAATACTAAAGTGTAAATTATTTGTCTCCATCATTAAGTGTGCCATGTATTTTGGCCAGGGCAGCAGCAGGGTAGAATTCTGTGAGCTTAGTTAATCTTTATTTTTTCAAGTAATGTTGTGAGAACTATGATTTTTGCATAGCAAGTTTAAGTGCTGCCTTTTGGCTAAGTTGAGGCCTTAGAACTATGTCTCTTTATGTAGTACATTTTATCAGAATAGGAAGAACCTGAGATAATTAGTTTGGAAGCTTCTCAGCTCATATTGGGAAACTCTACAGCTTTTTTGTTTAATGTGCTCTATTGTTTAACAGTATTCACTCTTTAACTTTTCTCTAACCAATCGTGAAAGGATTGATAAATTTGAGGTGTGGCTCTGGCACATGCTAAGAACTATCTTAAGTATTTAGTAAACAAATAGCATGAATAAAGCTGGCAGAAAAAAGATTTGGTTTGAACTTCTGCATGCACTGGTTTGACTATTCTGTTGAGGTCTTAGGAGTTCTGTAGGCACTGCCTGTGGAAGGGCAGGAATCCAAGGAACTGGGCTCAGGTCCCCTCACCCCACTTCAGCCAGAGATGGCCAGGCTCTGTGCTATGCATTTGTACCTCCAGTGAAGATCGTTTAGAGGAAAAGATCTAAGGTGAATCCCACCTGGCAGGCAGGACTGGTGACTCTTGTGTCTCCTTCTGTTTTCAGATGTTTCTGACAGTGTACCTCAGTAACAGTGAGCAGCACTTCACAGAAGTCCCCGTTACTCCAGAGACAGTATGCAGAGACGTGGTGGATCTGTGCAAAGAGCCTGGCGAGAGCGACTGCCATTTGGCTGAGGTGTGGTGTGGCTCAGGTATGAGACCAACTTGTGCTTTAGTCCTGCTGTCTTCCGTTACTCATGCTTACCTGCAGAGAAACTGCAGGACAGCGTGTCCATCAGGAGGCAGTTCTTTCACGCCAGCGTTGTGTGACATGAAGTCTTTTTGCTGTTTTCTTTTTCTGCAACAAGATGAGGCACTACTGTGTAAAATGTGAAAAGGTCAAGACAGGTGGTGGATGTGCAATGTGGAAGCTTCTGGTGTGTTATGGTCAGACGTTTGGTGTTCAGTTGCTGTATGTTTAGGCTTTCCTTCATTCAGAATTTGAGGCATTCTGATTCTCTTGCCCTCTCTTTCATTTTTTTTTTTTTTGGTAGGCTTTTAGGGAAAGTTGTTCAGTTTTGAGGAACTGTAGTGTAGCAGGCAATGATGATGACATAAGCAGTATTGTAAGCCTTGAAATCATTCCCTCAGGATAGTTTTTTGAAACTCTAAATTGGAGCAGCTTACTTTCTTTTGGTTCCAAAGGAGTTTTGTAAGTGTGGGAATAATTTTCATCATTTCTGCTTTGCTTCTGTACAACCTGAATCGACTCCCACTGTTTCCTTTTCCTTCTCAGGGGGTGCCAGATGTCCTCAGAGCAAGGCACACACTGCATTAAGTTTGCACCATTCATGGCATCTAATGTTAGCTGAACCCTCACTTCCAGGCAGGACCTTTATTCATCTTTAGTTGGATTTTCCACAGTTGAATGCTCCAAAATGTCTGCTCTACTCTCTCTGGATTACAATTTCTTCTTTTTCCCAGTACATCAGCGCCAACTAGATCATTTACATAAAGAATCCCAAGTAGCTAGGTGCAGTGGCTCACTTCTGTAATCCTAGCTCCTTGGGAGGTGGAGATCCAGAGGATCATAGTTGGAGGCCAGCGTAGGCAGAAAATTTGCAAGACCCCATCTCAACCAATGGCTGGGCATACCTGCATCCCTGCTCTGCTGGGAAGCACAAATAGGAGGATCACAGCCCAGTCTGGCCTGGGCATAAAACAAGACCTTATCACAAAAATAACCAATGCAAAAAAGGCTGGGGGCTCTGCTCAAGTGCTAGAGTGCCTGTGTAACAAGCACACGTTCAACCTCCAGTACCGCCAATGAAAAGCAGAAGTCCCTAATGATCTCTTAAAAACTGAAGGTTGAGCTGGGTACTAGTGGCTCTTGCCTGTAAACTTAGCAACTTGGGAGGTTGAGATCAGGTGGATTATGGTTTGAGGCCAGGCCAGGCAAGTAGTTCACGAGACCCCCGACTCCAAAATAACCAGAGCGAAATGGACTGGGAGTGGGACTTGAGTGGTAGAGCACCTGCTTAGCAAGAGTGAGGCTCTGAGTTCCAACCCCAGTCCCACTAAAACAAAAAACAAAAACCATAATGATTGGACATTTTCGCATTCTTGCTTTTAAAACTCTTCAGTGATTTCTCTTTCAGTTCAAATGAAATATAAACTCTCGACCTTGTGTAGTGAGGCCCTATGGATCCATTGTCTTTGCTGTCATCTGGTGCTGTTTTCCTTCTTGCCCCCTCTAGCAGCTTTTCAGATACTCCACGGGAATGCTAAGTTCTTTCCCACCTAAGTTTTGACACTAAACTCCAAGTGCCAGTATTGCCCACTGTCTGTTGCTCTTCCTCCAGATTTTGTCATTGCTGGTTCCTTCTGGTATTGACGTTCAGCTAAAAAAATTTTTATTTTTATTTTTTGAGATAGGATCTCACTGTGGAGCTCAGACTGGCCTTGAACCACAGTCATCTTGATTTCTGCCTCTTAAGTAGCTGGGATATAGATGTGTGCCACCATGTCTAGCTCTTCTAAAGCTTTTTAGATTAAAGTTATGTGAAGGCCTGGTATGGTGGCACATGTCTACAATTCCAACACTCAGGAGGTTGAAGCAGGAGGATCTAGAGTTCAGGGAAGCCCAGGCAAAAAAGCTAGTGAGACCGCCATTTCAACAAACAAGCCAGGTATGGTGGTGCATAGCTGTAATCCCAGTTATACAGGTAAGAGAATTGTGGTCTAAGGCCAGCCCTGGGCAAAAAAGTGAGACCCTATCTGAAAAATAACTAAAGCAAATGGGTTGGGATCATGGCTTAAGTGTAGAGTGTCTGCCTACAAGGCCCTAAGTTCAAACCCTAGTATTACTCAAAAAAGAAAAAAACTTAGATAAGGCAGGATGGTGCAGGTCTGTAATCTCAGCACTTGTGGAAGAGGCTGAGGTAGGAGGATTTTGTTCAAGGCCGGCCTGAGCTACATAGCAAGTGACCCTGTCTCAAAAAAAAAAAAAAAAAAAAAAAAAAAAAAAAAGACAGATAGGTTCTTGTTTATAAAAAAGGAAAAACATATAGACAGAAGGGATGTCTCTCTCCCAAGTCTACTCCCTGGTCCCCTGGTGTAATTACTGAAGACTTTATTTTTATTTGTTTTGGCAGTTCTTGGGTCTGAATGCAGGGCTTCATGCTTGCTGGGCAGGCACTCTGCTGCTCGAGCCATGCTCCAGCCCTGTTTCTCTGGTTATTTTAGAGATAGGGTCTTGCTTTTTTGTCCATTGCAGCCTGGACAAAAAATGTCTATTTTACATTTCCCACCATTGCTGGAATGATAAGCACGTGTCACCATGCCCAGTTTTTTTCCATTGAGACAGGGTCTCATGAACCTTTTTGCCTGGCTAGTCTAGAACCATGATCCTCCTAATCTCAGCTTCTCGTGTAATTTGGGGTGACAAGTGTACTCCATTGCACTCAGCTCTTGGTTGAGATGGAATCTCTTCAACTTTTTTGTCCTAGCAGACCTGAAACCGTGATCCTCTGGACTTTAGCTTCCCAAGTTTCTAGAATTATAGGCATGAGCCATGGGTGTCTGGTTTATGTATGATTTTTAACAAATAACTTTTTGGGCTTTTCCTCTGCATTTATAAGTATCTATAGTGTTGTTTCTGTTTTTTCTTTATGTTAAAGTATCACATATCAATATCATGTAATTTACTATTTAAACTTATAGCTTGAAGATCTTTTCAAATTAGTACATGTAAATCTGTATCACTTTTTAATTATCATATAGTTTTCCATAACTTGCATAATCTACAGTTGATGTAACCATTTTCTTATTCATGAGCATTTAAGTTAATTCTGCTCTTGTTTTGGTAAATGCTGAAGTAAGAGCCTCTTGAGGCCAGGTGTGGTAGCATATGCCTGTAATCCTAGCACTCAGGAGACTGAGGCAGAAAGAGGAGAGTCTGAGGCCAGCCTGAGACAACATAATTCAATCCTGTCTCCAAAAACAAAAACAAGAGCAAAACAAAACCCTTATAAAAGCTGTTTGAAAGAGGGAATAAAAGGAATACAAGTGGGTAAAGAAACTGTCAAAATATCCCTATATTCAGATCATACGGTACTATACCTTAAAGACCCAAAAAACTACTCAAAAGCTTCTAGACACCATCAACAGCTATAGCAAGGTAGCAGGATATAAAATCAACATAGAAAAATCATTAGCATTTCTATACACATTGAACAAACTGAGAAAGAATATATGAAAACAATTGCATTTACAATAGCCTCAAAAAAAAAAATCAAATACCTAGGAGTAAACTTAACAAAGGATGTGAATGACCTCTACAAGGAAAACTAAACTTCTGAAGGAAGAGATTGAGGAAGACTATAGAAAGTGGAGAGATCTCCCATGCTCATGGATTGGTAGAATCAACATAGTAAAAATGGCTATACTTCCAAAAGCAATCTACGTGTTTAATGCAATTCCCATCAAAATCCCAATGACATTCATCAGAGGGATTGAAAAATCTACAGTTAAATTTATTTGGAAACAACAAGAGACCGCGAATAGCCAAGGCAATACTCAGCAAAAAGAACAACGCTGGAGGTATCACAATACCTGACTTCAAACTATATTACAAAGCACTAACAATAAAAACAGCATGGTACTGGCAGAAAAACAGACATTAAGACCAGTGAACAGAATAGAGAACCTGGATATGAAGCCACACAACTATAACCAACTTATCTTTGACAAAGGTGCTAAAAATACACGATGGAGAAAAGACAGCCTCTTCAATAAAAACTGCTGGGAAAACTGGTTAGCAGTCTGCAAAAAACTGAAACTAGATCCATGTTTATCACCCTATTTATTGTAGAGAAAAGTAAAGGTTCACACATTTAAGGATGTAATATATACGGCCAGATTTCCCTTCACAAAGGCTGCATTGGTTCTTATTGTCCTGTTTTTCTTAAAGGTATCCTTCATGAACAGTTTTTACAATGATATTTTACTTTTGCTAAACTGATAGCCAAGCACTAGTTTTTGGTTTAAATTTGCATTTTTCTAATCACTTGTGAGGGTGTTCATCTTTTCTTTGCTGGTCATTTGCGTTTCCATTTTTTCAAATTGTGTATTTATATCCTTTGCTCATATTTCCTTTTGGGTTTTTTGTTTTTACCTTTCTTTCTTAATTTTTAGGCATTTAAAAATTCTATTCTGGACCTTAGACCAACTTATATGTTATTTAAAGAAATACTTTGGAGGCTGGGTGCAGTGGTACAAGCCTGTAATCCTAGCTACTTGAATGGCAGAGATTGGAAGGATCACAGTTCAAGGCTAGCCTGGGCAAAAAGTTCACAAGACCCTGTCTCTGTCAATCCCAGCTGTTTGGGGAAGTAAAAATAGGAGGATCCTGGAGCCAGCCCAGCCCTGGCATAAACTGAGATCTTAACCTCAAAAACGTTCAGCATGCAAGGGCTAGTGGAGTGGTTTTGGTGTTAGTGCGCCTGCCTAGTAAGTATGAAGCCGAGTTCAGCCCCAGTACTGCCAAAGAAGCAAAGAAGGAAAGGGAAGGAGAGAAGGAAGGAGGGATGAAGGGATGGGGGAGAGAGGAAGGAATACTTTGAGGCTGGGGATGTAGTTCATTGGTAGAATGCTTTGCCTAACATGCACAAAATCCTGGGTTCAGCTCCCAGCACCTTTGAAAAAGGAAATCCATTCTTATTCCAAAGTCTTAAACCTATTATCCTATTGTCATTTTCTGTGTTAAAACCTCTAAACCTCTTTCTTTCCCCTCTGCCTTCCTTCGTTCCTTTCATATTTCTTTACTGTTCAGTCATGTATTTGTTTAGAGAATGTTTCTTGGAAGCCTATTATGTGCTTGATTTTGAGGAAAGCATAGATGAGTTTCCTGCCTAGAAGTATCTTTTGACGCAGGAGAAGCGACACAAGTGTCTACTGACGTTTGTATTATCATGGGATGCCTGCAGATAGTAGATGGATAGGCTTCATCTGAAAGAGAAAGAGGCTTGGGGATGTTGATGAGTGCTAGTTCAAAGCCACACTGGCATGAATGCCAAGGCAAGGAATGGGTTGTTGTTGGAGCATAAGGTGCTAGTTAGGAGCTTTGAGAACCTTTAAAGGCGTCTCTTTTTAGCTTGTGCAGGTGAGTCCTAATCTTTTGCCCTTGGAGTACTCTTGGCACTGTAACACCTTTGTGCCTAGAGTGTGTAAGAAGGACCCTATCCCTCAAGAGCAGTGCAGCACGGACTATAAGTTATTTTGCTTTTTTAAAGTTTTTCTTTGCTCCAGAAACCTGGGGTTTCCCTTTCCCTCCCTTCCATTCTACTTCCCACCACCACCACCTGGCTTTACTTCATTTCTTTTTGAGTACAGTTTTTTTGTGTGTGAAGTGGGGAGGGAGGGGAGAATGGAAGGTCTACTCAGAATTTCGTCTCCTCAAATAAAGGTGTTTTTCCTTTTGGGGGAATCTTAGAATTCTACCAGTATGGCTTGCTTCAACTCAGGATGTTGTGTTACTGGAAATAGAACCAGAACTAATGTTTGTTCCAGCCAAGCAGATTAGGTTCAGGGTTTATTCACAGAATTGGCTCCTGAACACTTGGCTGCCCCATTCTCTGTCCACCTTGTTTAGTTAAGGTACTGAGATAGTGTCTTTGATTACTGATAAACGTGTAGAGTTTTCATAGGCTATTTCAACATTCTTATAAAAAATATATTGGTGTCTTTGGAGTTTCTTTGAATTTTAGCACTTGCTTTCTGAACTAGGAGGCTTGCTTTTTATATCCACCTTCCTCTCCTGAGACTGGAAGGTTTTTTCAAGAGAACTCAATTTACATTGTTTTTCCTGAATCTCCCATTTACTGGAGTACTTAGTTGTCTTCCTTTTTATCTCTAGAAAAGTGCTGAAAACTGGCAATCATATTACAAAAGAGCCAAATTATTTACGTTGCAATAAGTAGCCTTTTGTTTGGAAATGGATATTCTGACTTCTTAAGGAAAACCATAGTTTAGAAATAGTTTATATTAAAGACTGTAATTAAAAATAAAAAGATTAGGCTATTTAGAAGGTATTTAGAAAGGCTATTTAAAAAGTTTGTTTATTTTGGAAGCCATAGAACATTAGCATTAGGAGGGGTCCTCTGAATCAGCACAGTACAGAAACTTTTGAAACCTACGGAAGTTGAATGGCACATCTACAGTGATAAAGAGCCTACTGGATCAGACGTTGAGCTCCTGACAGTGTCTGAGATCTGATCCTCTTTACTCCACCCTGGCTTGACATTGATTGTAAGTGGAAGTCTGTGGTCCTTCACTTTCTGAGATCTTTTAATGAACGAAAAAAATTCTAAGATGCTAAGTATTTGCTGCATCCATAATTTGCATCAAGGATAAGCGGTACATATGTGTGTCTTTTACCTGCAGATAACGTTACTTCTCATTTCTTCTAGAACGTCCAGTTGCTGATAATGAGCGGATGTTTGATGTTCTTCAGCGTTTTGGAAGTCAGAGGAATGAAGTTCGTTTCTTTCTTCGTCATGAACGCGCCCCTACTAGGGACATTGGTATGTAATATTCTATGAATCATAACAAGTATTTGAACTTTTATTTTATGCGTTAGAGCAGCTGGGAGAGAGGTGGCAGATGAGGAGGAGCCAGGTGAAATGTGGGTGGGAAGGAGTCAGTAGAGCAGGCTTTTGAGGCAGAATCTTGTTACGTAGCCCAGACTGGCCTGGAACTCGTGATCCTCCTGCCTTAGTGCTGGGATTATAGATGAGCACTACCATGACTAGCAGAGGGGTGAAACTCTTAGGAGAGAGAGAATACTTGACAGGGTAAGTTCTATGAGAAGGTGTCTCCATAGCCCTGATGGAGACTCATCTTAGACAAAAGGAGGGATCCCTCTAACATTGTAACAGGACGGAAAGAAAGTGGCCAGTGCAGTTAAAATTTGTGCCTTCTGTGGGACCAAGTTGAGAACTTTCTTATATGAAAACATGCATTTTTCTCTGAAGTGGAAGTATAGTCATCTGAAAGTGACAGTGGTGGAGGTGGGTTGGCAGGTTGAGCTGTTGTGGAGAAGAGTAGAGAATGCTTACTATGGCAGTCAGGTTGCTGAAAGCATCAAGGCCAGCTGAAGTAAGAGACCTGAGACCACGTGTGGTTTTTCTTTAGTAGAGCTCTGCAGCTTGGGTGAATTGTGAAAGAAGGCAGACTCCCAACTCACTGGAAGTTAGTGGGACCAGGGTGAAGAATGTATTGGCAAGGTGATAGCTATTCTGGGTGGGGAGGAGGTAAAAATAGGAGGGGTCTGTGAGCAAAGAGTAGACAGTGTTCAGAGACTGCAAGTCACAATTAATGAACAGGAGGAGGAATGGGTGAGGTAGGTAGATTGAAAGGAAATGGTGGTTAAAAAGTAGAATGAGGGCCAGATGAGGTGGCTTGCATATATAATCCTTGCCACTTGGGAAATGGATATCAGGAGGATTGAGGTTTAAGGCCAGTCCTGGCAAAAAGTTAGTGAGACCCCCATCTCAGCCAATAAGCTGGGCATAGTACCATATACCTGTCATCCCAGCTACATGGGAGGCCATAGGTAGGAGAACTGAGGTCCAGACCAGTCCCTGGCAAAAACGTGAGATCTTATCAAAAAAATAATTAACATGAAAAGGGGCTTGGGGGTGTGTGTCTCAAGAGGTAGAGCTTCTGTTTCGCAAGTGTGAGGTCCTGGGTTCAACCCCAGTACCACCAAAAAAAAAAAAAAAAAAAAAGTAGAATATTTGAATTTGAAATTTTAGAGGTGGAGCGGCTTTAGGTGTTCCTCAGGTTGGACCCTGAAAATAAGCCTGAATTAAGAGTGGAGACGACTCTGTCACAGAACTAAGAGACTAATTTTGGGTGGCAGTCATCCAGAATGAAAGCAGGACTTGGAGATGGAGAGAATGAGTAAGGCAGTCACACACAGCTTAGTGATGATGGTGAGAAGAGGGTAGAAGGTAACACAGTGCAAAGCTGTGGGCTGAAAGCACTATGTCACATGGAGGGCCCAGGTGGTCTTGTAGGACATGGGAGAAGGGCAGCTTTCTATCTGTAATCTGTGTGGAAGTGCCCTTCTTGGTGGGAAGCCAGGATTACTTTGTATTTCTGAAATGTTGGAAACTTTAAAATGAAAATTAAGCACAGTTTTCTTGTAGGTAACAGATGTTAATTAATGGATATTATAAAATCCCAGTTTTATTACTACTGTTGTTTTAGTGCAAGGGTCCATATGGCACCTGATCATTAGAAATGAAATTGAGCTTAGGGGCCGCAATTGACTTAGTCTGGCCTCTTCTACTCTGTAGATGAGAAGACATGACACTTAGGGGTTAAGTGACTTGTCAGAGGCCACAGCTGAGGAAGAGACTGGAGTAGAACTTAAATCCCCTGGGCCAGGCTGGCTTGCATGCCTTTTACTGTCACTGGTCTTTGTACTCCTAAGTTTACATGTATTTTTGTTCTAAGCCTTCTTTTTAATACATTTAAATTGATATTTGCATCTTATTTTTGTTTTGTCCTTTATTTACATTACTGGATATATCCTTTTCTAATTAATACATTGAATTTTACCCATTCATGTACCCAGTTATCTTGCTGGGTAAGTTATCGGATAGTCTACCAATAGTGAGACATGGTTTCCGTATGTCTGTTATGTGAGAGATATAATGTTATGAATAAGGAGCTGTTTTCACATTGCTGCAAAACACCAGTGCCACACAGTGTTTAGATTGGTCTAAAGCAGGACTCTTGAGTCTGCTGTAGGAAGGTGTTAACCAACCCCGTTCAGTCCAACTTTGAGGATTAGGAGGCTGTACCATGTCCCTTTTTCCAAGTTTATGGACCTATGACTCAGGATATGAACAAAAATATTGTAAAAGCTCTTGCTTTTTACTCTAATTATATCACTGGTTATATTAAGGAGAAACTACTTAAGTGCTCCCTTAGAGGCAGCAAAGAAAGCCATCATTCTTAAATTATAGAAGTTTTTGTTCTGGCATATTTTGACATTTTACCTGAGCTTTTTTGTTAGAGAATCAAGCAGTATTTTATAAATAAAAAAAGTAACACATTAGAGTTTTGTGTAAGTGTGGTAGCTGGCTCTAATGATCTATCTATCTATCTGTCTATCAGTCAACATGTGAATTTGTTCTAAGCTTCCTGACAGGCATAATAGACATTTGATTCAGAGAAATTTTAGTGTAAAATTTCTTCGGAGGCAATTTAATGGTTTTTCTAATTTTGGGGAATTATAGATAGGAGCTTAATTTAATTTATTTTAGAAGTGCATTAGTTTAAATGAATACTTTTCTTTTTATAATATAGCAAGTGGTACTATGAAACTCATGTGTTTTCACTTGAAAAATTCTTTTTAGCCAAAAGGCAGAATGCTCAGTTTTTCAGTTAGACCTTTCCCAGACTAAGAACAGGGGAAGTATTTTCCTTAAACACATGAGGATGTATGTCCTAGCATATTTATAATTGCCACAGAATGCCTCCAATAAACCAATCAAAGTATCACGTTTCCTATTTTTAATTGGTTCCTTCCTGTATAGTGTTAATGAATAGAAGGATGGATTTAATTTTCAATTATTTCACTGAAGCTCTTTTTGACTTCATTACTGAGTAGCTGAGAACTTGGAGGAACAACTATAAGCAAATTATATGAATTAGCAGAGTCAGAAGTACATTAATTTTGTTGACTCTTCTACTTTCATGTGAATCAGGTAATTTTTCTAGTAAATAGGTGGCATGTGACATCCTTTAAACCTAACTATTTATTCACTGTTCCACGTAACTGATTTTTGAACAGTTGAATTGTGAGACCTTCATTCCATTGCCAAAAATATACATTCAACTTAAGTATATCAAACAGCAATAGCAACAGAACTCAGAAACAAACTGATCAGTATTGTCAACGCTGGTATTAATGCATAGTTTTTGAATTTTGTGCATAGTGAGTGGACCAAGAACTCAGGATCCAAGTCTAAAAAGAAATGGTATGAAAGTTCCTGGTGAACATCGAAGAAAGGAGAATGGTGTAAGTGGATGCTTTTTGTCCATCTTGTATATGCCATAATGATACTGTTTTTTAAACTTTAAATATTATTCATTGTTACTTTGTTATTCAGTGGGTTAAGAATGGCCCCTTTTTAAAGGCTATTTTAAATTTATTTCATGGAAAGCATTAACTCTAATGATCTCTACATGGCTGCTATTGTGAGAAGTTAATATTGCTTGTATCGTAAATTCCAAACAAAATAAATGTTGAGCAAGTTTGAAGAAGTGTTTCTTTTTTTAGGGATTTTATTTGTTGCTATAATGATTTTTAGAAAAATGGAAAATTATATACTAGTGCCTATTCCTGTTACATATGAATTTAAGCAAATATCTTGATATACCTTGAAGACAATTCTTTTCAGAGCTCAGAATTTTTGATACCATCAAGGACTGGCTAGTTTACTTTGTCCTATCTATAGTTAATTTATGTTAGAGTCTAACAAGCATCTAGAATATGCATCTAGAATAGCCAAGACAACTTTGAAAAGAATAAAGTCGGTAAACTTATACTACCTGACTTGAAGACTTATGAAATCCTATAATCAATAGTGTGATATTGATGGTAGAGTGCCTGCCAGCAAGTGTGAGGCCCTGAGTTCAAACCCTAGCACCTCCAAAAAAATAATAATAATAAAAAAAAACACCAACAGAACAGAGAGTATACTTACCAGCAACAATTTTAGATAGCGGTACAAAAGAAGGGAGCAGAGAAATAGGCTTTTCAACATATATTGCTTCTACAACTCAATATTCATATGCAAAAAATGAACTTTGATTCTCACATCATTTGCAAGCAAAGTTAACTCAAAAGGGATCATAGGTTTAAGCATAAAATCTGAAAGTACAAAATTTCTAAAGAGAACAAAGAGTAAAAAATCGGTGACCGGCTAGGTACAGAGTTTTAAAACACACAACAAAAGCACAATACATTAAAGAAAAAAAAAACCTGGTCAACTGTACTTTGTCAAAATTAAGAACTTTTGTTCTTCAAAAGGACTCTTAAATAGGACATGCCTCTGGGTTCTATCTCTAGAACCACTGCCACCAAAAAAAAAAAAAAAAGACCAAAGACCATAACTAATATTGTTACTGTGGTAATTGTGCTTTTCAACTCATGAGCATGGTATATTGCTCCATTTATTTATGTCCTTTTTCTCTCAGCAATGTTTTGGAGTTTTTAGTGTATAAGTCTTGCATATCTGTTAAATTTATCCCTGCGTATTTCATACTTTTAGTGCTTTTTTTAAAATTGTTTTTATTGTTTTATTATACATATGTGCATACAAGGCTTGGGTCATTTCTCCCCCCTGCCCCCACCCCCTCCCTTACCACCCACTCCGCCTCCTCCATCTCCCCCCCAACCCCCTCAATACCCAGCAGAAACTATTTTGCCCTTATCTCTAATTTTGTTGAAGAGAGAGTATAAGCAATAATAGGAAGGAACAAGGGTTTTTGCTGGTTGAGGTAAGGATAGCTATACAGGGAGTTGACTCACATTAATTTCCTGTGCGTGTGTGTTACCTTCTAGGTTAATTCTTTTTGATCTAACCTTTTCTCTAGACTTTTAGTGCTTTTTAAAATGAATATTTAAAAAGATTTCAATTTCTCTTGATTGTTGCTAATATGTAGAAATACAATGGATATTTTTACATATTGAGCTTTTATCTTGCAATCTTACTAAATAACTTATTAGTTTGGATAGCTTTTTTGTGGATTCCATAGGATTTTCTTCATAGGTGAGTATATTGTTTATCAGTAAAGACAGTTTAATGTCTTCCTTACCAGTCATGATCCTGTATATGTCTTGTTTTATTGTACTTGCTAGATCCTGTAGGACAGTGTCGAATAAATGTTAGAAGAGTAGACTGCCTTACTTTGTTCCTTACAGTATATCGTGCATTTTTTAGTGTTACCATCTTTTTAAATAATGTTCTGATGACTATGTTCTAGTTTAGGCCAGTCCCCCAGTACTGTGTTTAATACGATCAAACACGCTATCCTTATATAAATTAACTATACAACAGAATAATGCTAAATTGTTCCATTTATGTCCCTGACTGTTGAAACTATTTAATTTAAAATTTATAACCTAAAAGAATATTAGTCTGTGTATTAGTATGTTTTATATCTTAGAAAGTTAGTATGGTGAATATCAATACAGAAGTTAATGGTCTTTAGCATTATGAAAGGAAAATGGTGAGATAATTCTGGTGTGCTCAGTTCAGGTGAAGCTTATAAACAGACACTGAGGGAGGAGGCTCTGAAGTCACTTTGTAGTGAACTGGGCTGCATTTGTATTCTTTCTGCAGGTTAGCAGCCCTAGGATGGATCTGACTCTTGCTGAACTTCAGGAAATGGCTTCTCGCCAGCAGCAACAGATTGAGGCCCAGCAACAACTGCTGGCGACCAAGGTAATGTCCTGTTTTCAGAGATCTCATAGTCCACCATTTTAGCGTATGGATAACGCTGGTGGCAGTCTACCTGTTACTTCCCATGTAGGAGTTGGTATTCTCAATCCTCAGGTCACCTGGTGTGTGGTATTTTGTTCCTTTTACTTCAGCATTGCAGAAATCCTAGTATCAATCCAGTTGTTTGAGATTTTCCTGGCCACTGATTTTTTTTTCCCCTCCTTTTTGAGACAGTGTCTCTATATTGCCCAGGCTCCTGAGTAACTGGGATTTCAGGCACATGCCATCATGTGTGGACTGAAACCTGATTTAAATCAAAGTTAATTGTCCTGTATTGGGGATCAGTGAAATAGGAAAGCCATGAAGAGCCTTTTGCTTTGCTGCCAGATCTACCTGGGGCTATAGAGGAGCAACTTTTGAGTTTACTAATGCTAGAGTACTGTCCTCTTCTGCTGGGTGGCACCAGTCATAAGCTGCTTTCTTTATTTGTAGATTCATTACCTACAAACTAATCCTAGTCCTGGCTTGGGTGAGGAAAATTACTATAAGAAGACTCTCCATTGCTGTCAAAACCAGTCTCACTGCTGCTTCTTTTGCCAGCTGTTGAGTTACAATCTAAAGCAGATGCCAGCAAACTTTTCTCCTTAGAGCTGCATAATGCAAATTTTAGGCTTTGCATGCTAAGCTGCCTCTGTAGTCACTATTCAACTCTGCTTTGTAAGTATCCACAGATGGGTGTGGCTCTGTCCCAATAAGACTTTATTTAGAAAAACAGATAGCAAGTTGAGTTTGGAAGTCAGGCTATAGTTTGCCTTCTCTGGTCTACAAACTCGGTATCCTTAAGTGACCAATCTTTTAGTGACTATATATGTTCATTGCATCTGGGGTAGATAGTTGATGGTTTGACAGGTTACCCTTTGGGGCTTTGAAATAATGACCAAGGATTCTTTAAGGCAGTCTTCAACATACACTGTACCTTTCAATATGGTGTTACCTACGTTCCTGTGCATTCACTTCTATTTATAATACTAGAGAACAGCTTTTTCAAAGTCATGTGTCTCATTGCTTCTCGAACTTTGACATGTATTTGAACCACCTTGGAGTATTATTGAAAATGCATGTTCCGGGTTTGTGTTTGAGATTTCTGTGTTTCTAACAAGCTCCCAGGTGATGCTGAGGTTCCAAGACAAGTGGTGAGGACATGTATTCAAATAAAAAGGTTGATGTTGCAGAGTGCATTTCTAACCTCAGGATCCTCATTTGGAAATTACTTTCACTTTATATGTTTTAGTTTCTTTTGTTGTTGGTGGTTTTTTTCTTTTTTTTTGCTGTACTGGGGGTTTTAACTCAGGGCCTCATGCTTGCTAGGTAGACAGGTACTTTACTGCTTAAGCTACTCTGCCAGCTGTATACATATTGATCTGAGAAGTTTACCTTTGATTATAGATTGTGTGAGTGTGTTACTTAGTTTTAGTTAAAAGTTTTAATGTAATAAAAATAAAATTTAAATTGCATAAGTGCAGTTTTCTGAAGTTTTTTGCAGTTTGGGTTTTTGCAGTTACCATTTATGTAGTATAAGAGATTCACATTTTTTTTTTTTTCTCCTGATACTGGGTCTTGAGCTCTGCACCTACATCTTGAGCCACTCCATCAGCCCTTTCTGTGATGGGTTTTTTTAAGATAGAGTCTCACGAACTATTTCCCCTGAGCTGGCTTTGAACTGTGATCCTCATGATCTCTGCCTCCAGAGTAATTAGGATTACAGATGTGAGCCACCAACGCTTACAAGAGCATTTGCAAGATTTACATTTGTTAGTTCCTTTAATCCTCACCAGAGTAACATGTAGTTACTGTTGGTTATCCCCCATTTTACAGATGAAGAAGCACAGACCTGTGTACTTGAAGAGGCTATATAGATTGCCCATGGTCTTATAGGGAGTATGTGGTTTGAATCTAAATTTGAATCCACATCTTCTGTATTTAACTGCTTTCCTGCACTGCCTCCCAACTCAACATGAGCGCCTTCTTAAAATCACTTTATGAAAACTAGTTCAAAGATCACTACTTGCTTGCTGTACAGGAACCACTTGGATTAAAAATACTAATTCCTGGACATTATCCCAGAGAGATTCTAGGAGGGCTGCGAAGTGTCTCTTGTGATGTACTTCCCAGGTGATTGTGAAGGTAGCATATAGGATGTATGAGGAAAGCAGAACATTATAGGTACATCTCAGTCTTGGCATCTGGTTTGTGGTGAGATTATTTTGAGGTTAGTTGTCTAATATTTGTACCTGATGATTACTTCTTTTTTCATCTTTAGGAACAACGCTTGAAGTTTTTGAAACAACAAGACCAGCGTCAACAGCAACAAGCTGCTGAGCAGGAGAAACTTAAGAGGCTTAAAGAAATAGCTGAGAATCAGGAAGCCAAGCTAAAAAAAGTGAGAGCACTTAAAGGCCACGTGGAACAGAAGAGGCTGAGCAATGGGAAACTTGGTAAGTTGTTCCCAGTAGACACTAAAGGCTACAGGCTGAGCTATTTTGGCATAAAAAAAATCAAAGTGGTATAGGAAGTTTATATAAATTTCTAGTAAGAATGAGATGAGTCTTTGTAAACTTTTAATAGGAATTTTTTTTTATCAGCACTAGGATTTGAACTCAGGGCCTTAAGCTTGCTAGCAAGTGTTCTATCACTTGAGCCATGCCTCCAGCCCCCTTTTTCTGTTTTACTTATTTTTTAGTATATATATATTTTTGCATTTTTGCCTGGAGTGTTCCTCCTACCTGTGCCTCTCATAATTGGAATCACAGGTGTGTGCCACCACCTGACTTGGTTGAGAGGGTATCTTGCTAATGTTTTGCCCTATTGGCCTCAAACTGATTCTCCTGATCTCTGCCTCCTGAGAAGCTGGGATTCAGGCATGAGCCACCATGTTTGGCAAGAGGAATTTTTTGAAAAGGCTTAATGCACCGTAATTTTGATGTTGCAAATTCCTCTCAGTTTCTTTCAACTTTAAATGTTTTAGACAAGGTTTGAAATTTACCTTTGGAAAAGTAGTTTTCTGATAAAGAATTTGATGAAGGTAAGAATAGTTCCACTGATTGCAATACCATTTTAATTAAAATGTTAGTGACTCGAGGTCCTTCTACCTTTAAAAAGTTAAGGTTAAGAGTACTAAAGTTTCTTCATCTCCAAAATTTGGAGTTTAGCATATAATAATATTTATTGTATAAATTCTGCAAATCTTTAAATGTCTATATCCAGAGAGAAACAGACAAATGTTGATTTCATTTGCTTCTAAAAGAAGTAGGTTGGTTCTAGAACATTTCTGAAAGAGTTCTCTTATTTTTAATTGGAAACTTTATTATAAAGCCTGGTTGCCTGGGAAGTATTCCATTCTCTTCTTTTCAACCATGGTTTCTGTTCTCTCCCATTCTAGTGGAGGAAATTGAACAGATGAATAGTTTGTTCCAACAAAAACAGAGGGAGCTCGTTCTGGCTGTGTCAAAAGTAGAGGAGCTTACCAGACAGCTAGAGATGCTCAAGAATGGCAGAATTGAGGGCCACCATGACAACCAGTCAGCTGTGGCTGAGCTCGATCGCCTCTACAAGGAACTGCAGGTATGCCACAGCTGCTCCAGAAACACAGCTGTTTGTAGAAGTGGCAGGAAGTGCTAGATTTTAGCTGCTTTTCCTTAAAGTGGAGGGAGAGGGAAGATCTAAACCCCAAAGAATCCAGAATAAACTTTATGGTAACTCAAACAGGAAACTTGAGGCATAACCACAGTCTAGCACAGATGTCACTTAATTTTAAACCAGGAGGCGAGGTATGTAGAGGGGACCTCATAATTTTAGAAATTATGTAATAGTTAACCTGGTGGACAAATTCTTTGTCCTACTCCTTGGCTGTCTTTGTTTTCTTCCTGTTTTATTCAGTTAAGAAACAAATTAAATCAAGAGCAGAATGCCAAGCTGCAACAACAGAGGGAGTGTTTGAATAAACGTAATTCAGAAGTGGCAGTCATGGATAAGCGTGTTAATGAGCTGAGGGACCGGCTGTGGAAGAAGAAGGCAGCACTACAGCAAAAAGAAAATCTCCCAGTAAGTGGACTGTTTGACAGTGGGGGTGGAGGGGTTGTGGGTGAGGGGCAGGATAGAGGCCTGGGGAGGAGGGAAAAGGATGAGTCGCCAGCCAGGTCAGTTTTTCTTAACAGCTTCTTCAGAATCATCATGTAGTGTGTTCTCAGAAAAAAGAGACAGTATTCTTGGATCCTCAAAAGATAATTTATTGCTTTTTTACTTTTTAATGTTTTTACCTCTGTGGCTCTGCTTTTTTTTCTAGTAGTTGTAATAAAGTACAGGTGAGAGTTCATTGTGGAGTGTTTTGTTTTGGAACATTTCTTGTAGACCCTGGCTAGATTCTGAAAGTGATTATCAGGAAAATTTTACAGCCTTTTCTGAGTTTGACAACCTTTTCTGAGTTTGATCATCCAATATGACTTACAATACTAAAGGACCTGTGCTTTTCCCCTAAGGTTTCATCTGATGGAAATCTTCCCCAGCAAGCTGTGACGGCTGCAAGTCGAGTGGCTGCTGTAGGTCCATATATCCAGTCATCTACTATGCCCCGGATGCCCTCCAGGCCCGAACTGCTGGTGAAACCAGCCCTGCCCGATGGTTCCTTCGTCATGCAGGCGTCAGAGGGGCCAATGAAGATACAGACACTACCCAATATGCGGTCTGGGGCCGCTTTACAAAGTAAAGGTAAAAACGAGTTCTTTCCAAGTCCTTCCCCACTTAGTTCTTCCCCTCCCCAATATATTTTCCCCCAAGTTTAATTTAAAAAAAATTGTCTTTATATTAAAAACTAAAAAAAAAAAATCCTTGGTATTTTTAAACTCTAAACAGTACAGCTCTGCTTAGGAAATGAAATGAAATAAAAACTGAAAGTTGTTTTAAAAAGCTCCTTTTTGTCTGCCATGGGGGTGCTTGTAACCCTAGCACTCAGGAAACTGAGACAGATGGATTGTGAACTTGAAGCCAGCAGGGCTACATAGCAAGACCCTGTCTCAAAAACAAAAATAACAATAAAAGTTACCTGTTACCAAGGAAATTTTGATTTGATTTTAATAACGTAAGAACTTTTTGTATAAAAAGATCATATATATATAAATGTGAGTAGTGTCATCTTTCCAAAAAGTGAGGTTGTGAGTCCATTCTCTCCATGAATGATGTTTCATAATTCGTATGTGCTTATGCATGAAAATTTGCCTGCCAATAGGTTTTAGAGTAAAGGTAGACATGCTGAGAGTGTAAAAGTGAAAATAGCAGAGGCTCCTTGCCTTGATAACCTTTGCATTCTTTGGAGTCCTTGGGTTCATGGAGTGATAAAAGCCAGAATTTTATAATGGAAGGAGAAAGGAAGCAGAGTTATTTCTAGACACTCCTTAACTACTTTATTCAGACCCCTGGAAGTAAAAAGTAATAGCCAGTGTTGTCCTTTTCTTCTAACCATTGCAAAAAAAAAAAAAAAAAAAAAGGCTAATTTTAAAGTATTTGTTATTTTGCCGTAATTACTAGGCTATGAAGCAATAGTGTCACATAGTTTGGATTTTATTGCAGAAAGAGTTATATTTGTTTTTGTTTCTGTAAGAGAAAGTAAAAGTTATGACTTTTGAAATTTAAATCCTGAATATACTGATTTATGAAAGACCTGGTCAAAGTACAGGTTAAAAGTCCAATTTTGCCCTTTTTTTGTGCACATAATCACTTAAAATATTGTTTATAAGATAGGCTTAGATGCTTAGGTACACTGGGTTGGAAGTTGTCTTCTGGGTGACAGTTATGATTCTTACACAATGAAGAATAATAAAATGGATCTTTGCTGGTTCAGGCAAACTTTCTGTTTGCTGTGACTAACAGGTTCAAGTAAAATTTGAAATAAATCTAATACAGTATTTTCTAAATCTACTGGGATGTTGGTGAGTATAGAACTTAAAGCTGTGTTTAGAGATTAAAAGTTTTAACAATAAAATGAACCAGCAAAAGTACTTTTAGAATGCTGAGTTATTTGTAACATTTTTCTGTATTCCAGGCTCTAAAATCCATCCATCTGGCTCTGATTGGAGCCCTTCAAATGCAGACCTTTTCCCGAATCAAGGTTCTTCCATACCGCAGAGCTCTGGGAATACCCTGGACCAAGGTGAGGTTTATTTGTGTTACTCCTCACCATTATGTTTTTCATTTAAAAGATATTGGGTATTCTTTTCTAGATAGTTTATTTTCTAGTGTGTTAAAGCTAGGGACAGTTTTAACATTGTATTTATGTGACATCTTCATTTAGCTGTGGAACTAAGATACTAGCATTGTAGTGTTTGAGTTATTCTTTTATCAAGTTAGCTTAAAAATAGGAAAGGAGTTAGTGGTACAGAGTTTCAGAGAGATTTGGCATAGAAAAACTTACTAGCAAATTGGCAATTTTATTTCAGACTGTTTGAATATCAAGGTTTTTTTTTTTTTTTTTTCTTTTTGTCTTCAGTTGATGATGAGGAGATTCTGTTGAGGGAGAAAGAGAAGAAAGTACGTCCCTTCTCAATGTTTGACACAGCGGACCAGTGTGCTGCTCCACCTTCCTTTGGTACCCTGAGGAAAAACCAGAGCAGTGAGGATATCTTGCGGGATGCTCAGGTACTTAGGAATATTCCAGTTGTTAAAATTTAATGGTAGTTCTGTAGTACGTTTTGTAGAAGGAATAAAATACTATGTGGGAGAGAACAGAAGAAATAAAATGTATCTAGAACATTAGAAAATACGATAGGATTCTGTTTTTTTAAACAGTTGTGTTGTTTGAATACATATATGTTCTCACACTATACTGGAGAATGGCTGACATATTTGCCGGTCATGTTTTATGTAATTCTCTAAAGAGTGTAAGTATGTTGAAGAAACGAAGTATTTGTGCTGTTCAGTTATCTTATTTCTTTGAAGTCTGTAGGTAGGCTGTATCAAACAATTTTATGGTGACTATTAATTACCGCTAGGATCTTAACTTTAGATAAACAGGTTATGAGTGAATACTGTAAGTTAGGTGATTTTTTTTTTTTTTATTGGTCTAGATTGCATGATGCTCTTTGAAGTTTGCTTGTTTGTTTAGTTTTTGTTTTTTTGAGTCAGGGTCTCACTATAGCCCAGGTTTGCCTCAAACTCGAGATCCTCCTGCTCCAGCCTCCCAAGTGCTGCGATAACAGGTATGTACCACCACACCTGGTTAGATTGCATGAAGTTCTGATGAAGAGTGGCTTTCACTTATTGGAAGTGCCTGAGAACATGAAAGATGGAAGTTAAAAGTCTTAAGTTTGGCAAGAACAAGAAGGAAGTCATATAGGGGGAAAATTACATTGCATCACTGAAGTCCCTAATTAAAAATGATTAAATACAAAGATTTAAAAACTTTTTGATGACTTAAAGATGTAGAGCTAGTATTTTTATACTGTGTACTCAAATTTGTAAAATTAGGTTATCTAGGACTTCCTGTATACCCAGTTATACAGTATTTTAACTGGCTCTCTCTCTCTCTCTGTCTCTGTGTGTGTGTATTCGATAGGCTGCAAATAAAAATGTGGTGAAAGTACCACCTCCTGTTCCTACAAAACCAAAACAGATTAATTTGCCTTATTTTGGACAAACCAATCAATCACCTTCAGACATTAAGCCAGATGGAAATCTTCAGCAAATGCCAGCAGCTGTTACATCCATAGGAAATAAACCCAAGCCAGTGGGACAGCAGCCAAGGGTACTATTGTCTCCTAGTGTACCTTCAGGTGGCCAAGACCAAATTCTTTCTTCAGTAACTAAGCAAGAAAGTCCACCTGCTGTTGCAGTTCGGCCCTTTACTCCCCAGCCTTCCAAAGACACCCTCCTTCCAGCATTCCGTAAACCCCAGACTGTGGCAGCAAGCTCAATATATTCCATGTATACACAGCATCAGGCTCCAGGAAAAAACTTCCAACAGGCTGTGCAGAGTGCATTGACAAAGACGCATCCCAGAGGCCCACACTTTGCCAGTGGTAAGGTTCTTGGTTTCATTTCTACCTGAGGAGTTTTTGTGCTTAGGTCCTACACCAGAGCTGTCAGTAGACAGCAAAATATCTGGTCCCTATTTTGACTGATACTGTTGTTCTAAGAGTTTGAACTGTGGCTCCTATTACTTGGGAATTTAGTAGAGTGCCTGAGCCATGTCAGCTACTGCTGTAGGCACTGTGGACAGTGGGCAAATAAAGTGCAGTCTCCATTCTGAGAACTGGCTGGCCAATGGAAGGCAGATGCATCAGGGTCACATAATGCAGGAGGCTGTGTCTTCACTGTATATTCCACTAGAGGTTGTGTAGAGGATGGGACAGCTGCTCCGTCTCTTGTTTTTTAAACAACAACACTCTTTCACACGTCAGTCCCACAAAAAAAACAATAAAAAACCCTATAAATATGAAAGCTTGTTAAGATTAGTTTGTATTATATACAAACTACACATTCTGGACATTTGAGTTCTTTCTAAATCATTAGCTAGATTATAGGGCTAGAATAAAATTGATGATATTTTAATTGATTGAAAATAGCTTTCTAGTCAGGAAATAAGCATGTAATTGTGACTTAAGATGTTATAATGGAAATTAGCCAACAATATATGTGCTACCGCTTATGAGTCGTTGGAAAGACTGCTAGTATAATAATTTCAGAGTTAGTTTTGATGTAATCTGAATGTTAAATGGAAATATCTTTTGTAGAGATAGTGGTTCTTCATTTTGTAAGCCATATGATTTCTCACATTGATTCACAGTATGAAAGGTGAGATAGTGCCTGTTTGCATTTAGTCTGGACACACAAGAGGCTTACCAGTCTTCATTGGTTCTTTTTCACATTTCGGCATTGGGTGCCAGTCAGTGATTTCTTATACTTGGCCACGTTTTGTTTTCTTACTGTTTCATAAAACAATGGGGCATGTTACAGTCAGTGGGGGTTTTGATTCTATAATAAGCATTTGAAAGATGAAGTCTTTGCTTTGTCTTTTGTTATTTAAGAAGTTAGTTGGGCTTGAGAGATACTGTGTAGTAACTGAAATTAAAAGAGGCTTTAGATGTTGCCCTCTGTTTTCATTACTTTAATTAGCACTAATCGGGGCTTTGTTTTCTTTTCCCTTTTCTGATTAGTATATGGCAAACCTGTGATTGCTGCTGCCCAAAACCCACAGCAGCAATCGGAAAACATTTATTCCAACAGCCAAGGCAAGCCTGGCAGTCCGGAACCTGAAACAGAGGCTGTTTCTTCAGTTACTGAGAACCATGAAAATGAAAGAATTCCTCGACCACTCAGCCCAACCAAATTACTGCCTTTCCTGTCTAATCCTTACCGAAACCAGAGTGATGCTGACTTAGAAGCCCTACGAAAGAAACTGTCTAATGCACCAAGGCCACTAAAGAAACGTAGCTCTATTACAGAGCCAGAGGGTCCTAATGGGCCAAATATTCAGAAACTTTTATATCAGAGGACCACCATAGCTGCCATGGAGACCATCTCTGTTCCATCATACCCATCTAAGTCATCCACCTCCGTGACTGTCAGCTCAGAAAGCCCCATAGAAATTCCAAATCCATATTTACATGTGGAGCCAGAGCAGGAGGTCGTCCCTCTGGTTCCTGAATCACTGTCCTCAGAGGATGTGGGGAGTGCCAGTACAGAGAACAGTGACATGCCAACTCCTTCTCCAGGCTTTGATTATGTGCCTGAAGGAGTCCCAGAAAGCAGCACAAATTTGCAGAGTAACACAGAAGAACCAAACCGAGAGGCTCCCCATTTGCTTGAAGTGTACCTGGAAGAGTATCCCCCTTACCCACCTCCACCCTACCCATCCGGGGAGCCTGAAGGGCCTGAAGAAGACTCTGTGCGCATGCGCCCACCTGAGATCACAGGGCAGGTCCCTCTGCCTCCTGTGAGTAACGTGTTTCATGGCCATTTAGAGAATCTGTTATCTTTGCATTCTTCTCCAGTTGACCTTTCTATTGTACAGTCCCTTAACACAGCATGAATCTATAAGTGCTATAAAAATTCAGTATATTCAGTATAAAGAATAGTTATGTATTTTTGAAAGAAACTTTTTCTTTTATGAAGGAAACAGTTTTTTGCTCTTACCTCTCTGCATGCCACATTTATTGTTTCCTCTCTAGCCGATGTCACATATTGGTAAGCTACACTGAATTGAAAAGACCCGGATTTGAGCTTAATCAGATTGTGTAACTTCTCTCATTGGCAGTAGCATTCTTTTTCAAACTTTTCTTCCAGCAGCAAAATTTATTTTTAATGAAATGTTACGTGAAATCTCAAACTTAACTGATAAATTGGAAGGGTTGGGTAAAGCGACAGCCGGGAGAGGTAAGTGGACAGAGGGTGGGATATGCGTCTCTTTAGCCTGTCCCTCCCCTTCAGTGTGGTGTGAAAGTCACTGGCAAATACCCTGATCCAGCATTAAGGTATTTTAAAACTGTGTGTTTTGGCTTGGGGATGCCTTCCACACTCCTAGATACAAAGCTTTTGTTCAGGAGTTTATCATGTCACTTTGAATTGGTGAGAGAACAACTCCAGAGTATATGAACAAAACCTGCTTTTTTATAGTTTAGTTGGAAGTCATTTGGTTTCCTTAAGCACAGAAAAAAATAGAATGCTGAGCCCTGAATGTGAAACATGGGTAAAAGCAAAATAGCATTTTAAAATAAGTGTATTTTGTATGTGTGACCCCTTAATCTTTTAGCTATAATAGTATTCATAGGTAAAGATTGTTCAGAGTTACTTTGTTGGTTATAGTGGACATAACTTTTCTGTAAAAAACAGTTGAACTAGAAAAGTTTTAAAATAGAGGTTAACACTTTTTAAGCAATTTTGTTTAAGTTCTAAAGCTCTGTTTTCATTTTAGTTTTAATTGTGAGAAAAAAAGAAGTTTAAGCCTTATCGACCAAAACTAACCTCAATATAGCTATTTGTCATTTCCCCTACTTTTTTGTTGTTTTGTCAAAGTAAATCATACTTTCAAGGAGGAGAAAAGAAACCAGGGTTTGTACAGTGATCATGCTTCCTTTGGGGAATGCTGTTATTTTCTTCCTAGAAAAGTGAATTGCTCTTTCCTTCTTGTCTTAGAGAAGCAGATGTTGCTGTATTATGTGCTCTTTAAAAGTGGGCCCGTTGCTTACACTGTGCAGCTAATGAAGGCTGTTAGCAGAGTCTTACAATCTGACACTTTTCTATTTTTCAAGGAACATCCTTTTAGCTGTTGTGCATTTGTGAGATATCTTTTTTGTCATGTAATTTTTTTTCTTACCTCAGTGACGTTCCACATCTGAGATAAAATGAAAGTGTTTATAAAATGTAATATATGTATCATACTTTAGGAAACATTTCCACTTTGTTGAACGTATTTAAGAAAACTGTTTTATAGAATGTTAGATTTAGTCTTTAAAATGCCTTTTTTTATAAGTCTGACTTTTAAAACATTTTAAGACTGGTAGGATTCCTCCCTGGTATTTCTAATAGCAGTTTTTATTGTTATCTTGTTACATGCTTTAGTTTGAGGAGGCACCATAGCATGACATAGTTAAGATCAAGGGCTTCAAAGAAGCCAGTTTACTTGGATTTGAATTCCCGCTCTGCTACTCACTGGACGTGTGTGCCCTAGTTTCCTTTTGTGTGAAATAAGGAGGATTAAGTAAATAATTTCTGTGTTAGCTATTAGGAATCTGAGCTGTGGTGTTGCCCAATTGAAAAGTGTGGAGCTTGCTGTGTGCTAAATTAGGTGAATTTGAGACCAGTCTTGGCTAGCTGAGGTACTTGACAAAAGTCAGCCTACTTGCCAATTGAGTTTCTACTCACAGTTTAGTTCATGCTAGATTGTGTTCTCAAGTGTACTTTCATTAGACTTTATAAAGTTATGTTCTTCCACTTTGTTACCTAGTTCACTTCATGAAAACTTACTAAGCTTCATATTATGATTCGTATACTTTTCTAAATTTAATACTTGAATAAACTGTTCTTTATTTTACATGTATAATAAATTTACACACATATATATGTTTGTATCTATATTTTGGGCCTCACACTTGGTAGGCAGGTGTATTCTACCACTCGAGCCACTCCTGTTAGCCCCTAAATAGGTATTTTTAATTTTTTTCATTAACTTAGTTCATCTCTTTCTCTCCTATTGTAGTTATATGTTAGTCTCTTTTGCTTAATTTTCCATTCATTTCCTTTGCAGGGCAAAAGGACAAACTTGCGTAAAACTGGCTCAGAGCGGATTGCTCATGGAATGAGGGTGAAATTCAACCCTCTTGCCTTACTCCTTGACTCATCTTTGGAGGGAGAATTTGACCTTGTACAGAGAATTATTTATGAGGTATGACTATAATTAGTAAAGTTCGTAAGTATGACCTTGTGTTTTGTTTTAAAGTCAAAAATAGAAAGCTACTATAGAGAAATTCTGTTTTGAAATTTTCTTTTCTGGGATTATAGGGTTGTGGAAAGAAACTTGGAGCATGCGCTAAAATAGGCTATGCTATTTTAAAAGTGTAACTGAAACTTGGATGATGCAGAAGTTCAATGTTCACTTGAAGTTCTTGGAGAGAATATTAGCCTTCTGTAAAAATTGCTCATGTGTGGATTTGTACCATACAGTATTGAATTATAGATGTGGTTCCCTATTTTTCAGAAGCCTGCTATTTAAAATATTTTTAGTTGACCTTTTTTTTTTTTTCGTTTCAGTACCAAAAGTAATTTCTACTTAGAAGCTAATTTGTGGTGGGAAGTTGGGAGGATAAATAAACAAAAATGATATAAAGATATATTTCTGGTACTAATTTAATTTTTTAAACACCTTTTTATATTTATATTAATTTGGCTGTTCTGTCTGCCCTGTTTCTAGAATTGTTCTTGATACAGTTTTCTTGTAAGTTTTAATTATGACTTTTAAAAATGCCACAAAAGTCTGTTTCTGTTGTCTTGACCTTCAGAAGCCAGTTAGTAGTAAAGTCGAGGTGACAAAAAATTGGAATGACACTCACCCTGCTTATTGACGTTACAGGTTGATGACCCAAGTCTGCCCAATGATGAAGGCATCACAGCCCTTCACAATGCTGTGTGTGCAGGCCACACAGAAATAGTTAAGTTCCTGGTACAGTTCGGTGTAAATGTAAATGCTGCTGACAGTGATGGGTGGTAAGATCTTCTTTTATATTTATCAAACTTCAGTTGTGGATGTCTGTCCTGTCATATAAGCAATATTGTAGTGCTACTGGAAGGCCGAGAAGTACATTAATATATATCCTTGAAATAGTTGTAATCTAGCTGGAGAAATGTGCTGTTGATTTTTGAAGAATTAACATTTTACGTAGCAACTGTGTTATTCCAATTCTGGAAGTGAATAGAGTTTTTTTTTTTTTTTTTAAGTTTAACAAATAATAATAAAGATAAGAGCTATCATAAAGTTGTAGGTGCATAATTAGCATGCTTAAACAAATTTTAAAAATGCCGATTTAAACTTTGGAGTCATTAATGTTTCCCATATTTGTGGGGGATACATTCCAAGACCCTCAGGGGATGCCTGAAACTGAGGATAGTATTTAACCCTATATATGCTGTTTTTTTTTTCCTAAGCCTGTAAACCTGTGATAAAATTAAATTTATATATTATGCACAGTAGGAGATAAACAACAATAACTAATAAAAAAGTAGAACACTTGTAAGAATATATTGTAATAAAATTGCCAGCATTGCTCCCCCTGTGCCTTGAGGCCATTCAGTAAAATAGGAGTTATTGGAACATAAGCACTGGAATGCAGTGGCAGCGATCTGGGTCTTGACGTGGCTAGTAAGTGACTAATGGCATGTGCAGTGTGCATGCGTTGGACAAAGGGGTGCTTCATATCCCTGTGGAACAGAGCAGACAGTGCAGGATTTCACACGCTCATGCTGTTTAGAACCAGTGTGATGTGAAACTTATGGATTGTTTATTTTGGGAACTTTCGATTTAATATTTTTAGGCCTCAGTTTATCTCTGCTAAGTGAAAACAGCAAAATGTGGATGAGTGGGAATACTGTATGTTCCTTTTGTGGATAAATCAAAAAACTTGACTTTTTCTATAAAGGATTGTAAAAAGTTATGATAGTCCTATTTAGTATTTTAATTTTAATTTTTCCTTTTCATATACAAATAGTTACAGTATCAGATTCTTATGTATACATAAATTGTATGCATAACATACACATATTCCTCATATTCCACTAATTTATTATGGAATTAGTAGAATTATTATGTGTACTCATTTATTATGACTGTCTCCTCATTGGTAATTAAGTTTTTTTCAAATTTTTTTTGTTGCTATAAATAATACTTGAGGAAATATTGTGGTTGCATTTAAAAAATTTATGATATATAAAAGTAATGTGTGCCCATTGTGGAAAATGTACAAAACAGAGAATTGAGAAGAGGAAAACAAGCCATCTTCGCTTCCACAATCTACACATAAACACCATGGTTATTTTAATGTACTTCCCTCCCTCAAGCTTCCCCCCACCCACTGCTGCTCAGATTGGACCCAGGGCCTTGCACATGCTCTACCTAGCTCCCTTAGCCCTCAAGATCTTTTCTTATATGCTTTGGAAAATATAGTTAAAATCATAATGTATATTTATATCTGTGATATTTAGTCTAATTTTTTGGTTTGGCATTGTAGCATAAGCAAAACAAATTCTTAATGCATTGCAAGGTCCTTGTTTCCTTAATGTTGGAAATTTAGGTTGTATATAATTTTGACTCTTAAAAGCTGTGCAGTGAAAAACTCTATACTAATATTTACTAAGTTATTAATAATAGTATTCTGAAGTAGGAGATGGGAAGTAATTGCCTTTTCTTTTAAAAAACCATATACCTGGGCTAGGGATGAATACTCAGTGGTAGAGCATTTGCCTAGTGTGCACGAGGGCCTTGGTTTGAACCCCATCCCCAGCACTGCAAAAGAAAGGAAAAGGAAAAAGAAAACAAAAACCATTTGCCCAAGAGAACTAAATGATTGGGAGAGGGAAGCATAAAGAAATTCATCTTAGGTACCTCAGAGCTTGGTTAACATTTTTAAGCTTGTCTTAAATTTGGATTGTGGTGTTAAGTCTTCTTGGCCCTTTACCATTAATTCAAGGAATTTATATTATTAAATGTTTGGGAGATGAAGTAGCTCAAGTGGTGGAGTGCCTGCCTACCAAACATAAAGCCTTGAGTTCAAATCCTAGTGCCACCAAAAAAAAAAAAAATTGGGATGCTGGAAAAGATTCTATTTAATGGTATTGGATAAATTCCTGCTAAGCAGTTGCTAAAATATATTGAAATGTGTGTGTTTTGTAGTCACTTTTCTAGTATGAATTGAATTGACAGATACTTTCAATTCAAATTTAATTTGAGTTTTAAAAAATAACTATAAAGGTAGCCTGTATGTGCAACTTGATTCCTTCAAAATTGGTGATGATAAAGGAATATCTAAAAGCACATTTTTGCATGAAGACCTATAGTTTAAGGACAGTTTGGTCCTCTCTGGCAGAAATAATGAAGCTGGGAAATCCAGACCTAGGACTCAGTCCCTTTGATTCTGTTCTTTGTACAAACTCATTTCCTTGGTTCTCACTCTACCCAGTTCCTAGCTCCTGGTGGTCCATTACTCCATCATAGTTTCCTTTGTTACTATGAATCTTTGATAGGTTCAGGCATCTGTTGAGCTGGTTTAAAAAGGCAATTTAAGAGGTTTTCTGAAGAAATGTCTAAGAGACTCTAGAACTTACAAAACAGATGTCATTCAGTGTGGAAAAACATGTTTAGTTCTTGCTGTGTCTTACTTCACAGGACCCCATTACATTGTGCTGCCTCATGTAATAATGTCCAGGTGTGTAAGTTTTTGGTGGAATCAGGTGCAGCTGTGTTCGCCATGACCTACAGTGACATGCAGACTGCTGCAGATAAGTGCGAGGAGATGGAGGAGGGCTACACTCAGTGCTCCCAGTTTCTCTATGGTATGTGGCCAGTGCAATTAAAGAGTTCCCCCTCTGTCTCTACAGTATAAGTCTATGTATATTTGTTATTTGGAAAAATCTTTTGTGCTAAACATGGCTTGGATGCAGAAAATGGGACAGTGTTGGTACAAATATAGTACAGCTTCTGTGTGTATGCCTAGAATCAGCTGTTGTCAGGGGCATTTTCAACTGCAAAAGACTCATGTAGCTTCTGACCTAGGAGTATTAGTTCTAAGGCTTTGGGCAGTCACATGACCCCCTTATTAAGTTACATTTATTAAGTGATATTATTGAGTGATAGTGATCTATACATGTAAGTTAACAGAACTACTCCTTCTAAGATGATCGAGAGAAGTAAAGCATCAATCCATAAATTCAAATGGTCCACGTTTTCCTGTCATAAAATAAAGGCAACACATATTTTGGAGGGCTTTATTCATTATGCTTTCTTGAGTTTGAGTTCATGATTCTGATTACTATAAAAAGGTATTAAGGTTATACCTAGAGACAAATCTTCTGCCTAGAAAAAAATACAGTTGAAGTTTTAGATGAGTATATGCTGGTTGCCATTTTTATTTAGGAAAGTTTTTTAATTCAAGGCTTAGAAGTTGAAGTTAATTTTCCTGTTCAGTTTGGCTTGAGAGGAATTGGGAAGGAGAGAAGACAAATGAGATCCCAGGACCACATACTGCCCCAGCTTTCAGAAGCTCCTTTCCCAGTTCATCGAAAGGCTCCTGAGGTTACAAAGATAGGCCTTGCCTTCTCTGCCTGGCCAGTTTCCTGGTGTCTTTGCCTGTTTTCAGGCTCTGTGTGAGAAAGTTCCCTCCATCTTTCTCAACTTTTTTGTTGGGAGGATGGGGTGTGTTTGTTGTTATAGGGATCAAACACAGGGCCTTGCACATGCTAGCTAAGCTCTCTACAGCTGAGCTATACCCTTAGCCCCTCAACTGTTAAGTTTTTATTGTTGATATTTATGATTACTTTTGTTTATATTTTCAACTCTAGACTATAAGATATTTTGATAGTATTTTAAAATTCATATGATGTATTGACACACACATGTTATTTTAACTTTATTGGCCATCTTGAGCTATATTTAGATATGGAATGTGATTTTTAAAAACATTTGGGACAATTTTATCAGATTTTTGATAAGATTTTTGAAATATATCAGGGATATCATGAGTGTTTATGACACACTGTGTAGGTTAAGTAATGATAATGGGTTGAAGACAGTGAATGGCTGTGTATCCACCTTAGAAAGCAGAACATGACCTCTCTATGACATCTTCTGCACCTCCCTGATGTGGCCCCTCTTATATCTGTGGTGACCACTCCCTTGAAATTTAGCATTCCTTGGGTTTTTTTTAAATAGTTATAATTTTTATGTGTGTGTGAAAGCCTCTAATGGTTTTTTTTTTTCTTTGCTATACTAGGGTTTGAACTCAGGTCTTTATGCTTGCAAGGCAGGTGCTCTGCCACTTGAGGCACACTGCCCACTCTTTCTTGCTTTGGTTATTTTGAGATAGGATCTTACGGGTCTAATTTTGACATTTCTATAAAATAAGTCATACTGATGATTATGTTTTTTAGTTTCACTGCATGCATTTAGCCATAGTTTATTTTCCCTGTGCTATACTATTCCATTTTATGATTGTATCACAATCTATCTTTCTATTCTAGTTTTAAAGAACATAGAGACTACTTCCTGTTTTTTCATATTTTTCTTTTGGTGTGCTCTTTGACTCTTTATTGATAGAGTATCTCATGGTGACTTTAGTTTGCATTTCTGAAATTACCAGTGACATTGAGCATATTTTTAGGCCCCTCAAAAATTTTTTACCTAGCAAATGTGAGGTCCTGAGTTAAAGCATCAGTACTGACTTGAAGTGAGTTTTTTCTTCACTCCCTTGTTGGAGCAAGCTTTCTCTTACTCCTGGTTATTACTGAATCTAACTGGGGGCAACTGGGGGTGCAGAAAGGACATAGAACAGACAGACAGAAAGTTGGGGCCAGGTGTGTGCGCTCCCGTGGAGACATACAACTCTCATTGTGTCTTTTCTCTCTTACTCTCTTTTATTTTACTCTGCTTCTTTTCTCTCTTTATTCTTTAAGGCCTTACTCTTTTACAGTTCTTTAAAACCTTGCTTCTAAAGTCTTTCCTTAAAACCTTGCTTTTAAAGTCTTCTTTTCTGTTCTTAAAAGTCTCTTTCTTTAGACTCATTCTGTCTCATGTTTTCTCTTGCTCTGTCCCATGTTTTCTCTTAGCTGTTCTTTAGCATAATCTCTCTTAAAGTCTTTGCCCTCACACTTGCACTGTCCTATGTTTTCTTTAGCTTTTCTAAAGCCTATGTATAAAGTTCTTGGTGTAGACTTTCTATCAATCCCTCTTTAGCCATTCCCCTTTAGCAATTTCCTTTTATCAGTTTCCCTTTAGCAATTCTTTTCCCTTCAGCAATCTCCCTCCAGCACTTTCCCTTCAGTAATTCATTTCCCTTCATTAATTCTTTTCCCTTCCAAAGCCTCCCACATAGAAAAGCCAAAAGCCAAAAGCAAAAGCCTTAAGCAAAAAGCCCAAAGCAAAAGCCCCCCATCCTCTTTCAGTGAGTCTTTTATATCCAGTGGTAAACAGGGTGGAGCAGCATTTCTGGGGGTGGGGCCTGACATTGTAACAGGAGAAACCTGCTTTCCTACTTACCTAAATTTAAACAACTTAGAAGAAGCAGCTGTTCTGCATTTTCCTCTTCTGTGAGGAAAATCTCAGCCTGCAGACAAACATCTTAGGAAAAGCAGCTGAGCTGCATTTTGCCTTGCTTATGTCCAGTTCTCATAGGCTTCTTATAATCAGCTCTCCACACTGACTGCAAAAACAAAAAAGGTAAAAGGCTGGGTGTGGTGGTGCCTGCTTGTAGTCTTGGCACTCTGGAGTTTGAGGCAGGAGGATCATGATTTCAAGGCCAACCTGGGCTACATAGCAAGACCCTATCTCCAAAACAGAAAGAAAGAATGCTGTTTATCTTAAATAAACAATGTAACAAGAAAAAAAAAAAGGTGGGAAAGATGAATTTGCGACTCTTAATCTGGTAAATAGTGAAGCAATGAAATTTTTTTTACCATTCTTAGTGATTTATTGAAAACTGGAATTTGAGTTGTTATTTTGAATATATTAAATTATCCAGGAGCCTAAAGGTGGCGCAAGTGGTAGAGCACTTGCTTAGCATGCACTAGGCTGTGAACTCAAGCCATAGTACCGTTAAAAAAAGTATCCAGAATTTCTCTCGTACCCCCTTCTCCCATCTCAAACAAATAATGCATTGGACCAGCTTTAAGGCTTTGAGGAATTTTAGTTATATCAAGTTTTATTGAAAGCTTTGCATTTTTATTTAAACAGGAAAGTTGGAAATTTGCCTGACCTTTTAGATTGGCAGAGGCCTCTTATGGAAAAGAAAATTTCATTTTTTTGCCCAGAGTGAGAGATGCACAATTAATAGTTTAATACTCATGTATGTTGAGAAATCTATTCAAAAGCAAGCAGATAGTTCTCTGGCCTTTTTCAAGGACAAAAGGTTGAAAATGACGATTAACTCTGAATTATTGGAAGCCTTATTGTCTTATTCCTTTTATCTCTTCCCTCTCCTCTTCCCTTTCTTCTCTTCCTCTACCTCCAGTTGATGATTGTTTCTTACTGCCATTTCATTGCCCTTTACCTTTAGGACTGGACGATATCAATGGAGAGAGGTAAAAGTTAAATAATTATAACTTAGTTAACTCTGCCAAAAAGTGGGCTTTTTCCTCCCTCCCCAATATATGGATTACAGCATCTTTGTTATTTAGATTGTCATTATTTTAGTTATTACATAGACTTATCTCGTGTCTAAAATGTCATAGTCTGCATTCTCACACACTTGCTAATGTATTTTATTTTCTCTTTCTCCATTTGGGATTTGATAGAAACCATTTTAATAGATACAACACTTGTTTTTCTCTGTCTGCTCTGAGTGTCAGGTAAAGAAGGAATGATGTTTTCAGAGTTCCTTGTTCACTACACTTAGAAGTATGCTAGAAGTTGAAAAGCACATATTTTAGTTTCGAGATTGGCAAAGTTTTTCTCTAAAACCAGTTTTAAGAAATGCTTATAAGGTGCTAGTTGTCAGAGCAGTTTGAGATAGAATAGCATGTGTTAATGTGTCTTTTGTATGTTCCATATGCACTGCTGATTTTCATTCTTCTCTCCCACTCTGAGAAATTTATTTAATGTTTAATGCAGTATTGGCATTCCAGCTAGTACTTGTGTTCTCTCACTTTGTTTCATATAGTTAAAGTTCTTAAGAGTGGTATAATTTGAGTGGTATAATTATAATTGAGTAGTATAATTTGTTCTGTATCTTTCTGTTGTGATTGTAGGAGTTCAGGAGAAAATGGGCATAATGAATAAAGGAGTCATTTACGCATTGTGGGATTATGAGCCTCAGAATGACGATGAGCTGCCCATGAAAGAAGGAGACTGCATGACGATCATCCGCAGGGAAGACGAAGACGAAATCGAGTGGTGGTGGGCACGCCTTAATGATAAGGAGGGATATGTTCCACGCAACTTGCTGGGAGTAAGTTTTTTGAACACTTGCTATGCTTTTTGTGTGTGTGTCAAAGAGGGGCTCTCCAAAATCTGTTGTGTGTTGTGAATACAGTGCAGCTTGCAGACTTACAGCCACATTTTTAGTGATTCCTACTCTGTCCAAGAGCCCATTAATATATTTGCCAGAGAAAGTGAGATTAGCATGTTCCAAAGCTTTGCATTAAGCTCTTTTGTAAAACTCAGGTGGTTCTTAGGTGCTTCTGTGTACACAAGAGGGGGTGTGTTAGGTGTGTGAGAGTGAGAGAGATCTCTCTTGAGATCTACCTGGAGTATTTATTATCTGGGTAATCAGGTGGTGGGAGGAAAGTGGGAAGAGCTGGAGAAGCCTGCTTCTTCAGATTGTTTATAAGAGTAATACAGGGCAATGATAGATATTGTAGTTATTTTTATCAGGTGTCAGACATGGTCTACTCTGACATCCAGTCCACCTGTAGGGATTCTGTTTGCCCAAGATCCTCTGCTGGGGTGCTGCTTTCTGTGGAATTTCTTAAAAATCACTCCAGTGCTGGGATTTGGCAGTCTGATTCTGACCAGCATTCCCTCTTCTGACTTTCCCTTTCCCCATGGGTTGCCTAAGGTACAGTGTAAATGACTTCATATATATACCTTGACTGCTGCCTTCCTGAGAGCATCATTTATTGTGAAATAAACTTCTGAGGTTTAGACAATAGTCATTTATATGATACTAAAGTAAATTTTAAAGAATAATGAAGGGCCAGGCATAGCGGCTCACTCAGCTGCTCAGGCAGTGATCACAGGAGGATTGTGGTTTGAGACCAGACCAGGCAAAAAGTTAGTGAGACCCCTTTTTAACAAACAAGCATGGTGGTACATGCCGGTGATCACAGCCATGCAGATGGAGGTAAGAAGATTGAAATTGTGGGAAAAAAATGCCAGATCCTATCTGAAAAAATAGCTAAAGCACAAAAGGGCTGGAGGCATGGCTCAAATGGTAGAGTGCCTGCCTGGCAAGTACAAGGCCCTGAGTTCAGCCCCAATATGTACAAAAAAAAAAAGAAAGGAAAGAAAAGTGAAATTACAGAAAAAAGGGAAAGAGTAATGGAAGTAAAAGATTAGGTTGTGGAACCCTATACACAAATGGCTTTCAGATTTCCAAAGGAAAGTAGACGTGGGAAGGTTAGTCTCCAAGCACCCTATTTGTGTGTACCAGATGTTTAGCACCAGGGATGCATTCTCTCACATTTGCTTCTCAACAGGAAATGAGCAGTTACATTTTGCACTTTTCTTATCTGGGAAAGGTGCTTCCTCTCAAAACTAGGTGTTTATTCAGGTCTTTTACTTTAATTTTCTTTTAAAAAAACGGATAAATAATTGTGTATGTTTGTGATGCATAACATGATTCTAAAAGTAGTAATACCTTGTGGAATGGCTAAGCCAAGTTAATGTGTATTACCTCACATAACTTTTGTGTGTGGTAAGAGCACACTTTTCAAGTTTTTAAAGTTTTAGCACTTTTTACGTTTTTAAAGTACAGTCACTATGGTGTACAACAGAACTCTTTGAGTTAAATTTTCTAGCAGAGAGGTCCTTTGCATAAGGAAATGGGGAGAATTACTAATCCCCAAGTGTAGAAACAGTTAATCAGACTCCAAAACTCTTAAAAAGCTCCAAAATTAACTGACTGGACTGAAGATTTTTATTTTAGTCCTAAATTTAGGTATTCTTAGTTTTGGGGGATTCTTTTCTAGTTAGAATTGTCCTCCACACACCTTTTTTTAGTATCTTGATGTTAAAGAAAAAAGGAAAGCACATAAATGTTGAATTCATAGACAGAGGTTCAGTTATGAGTCTGGAAAATGTAGTGGTTAAATAACTTTTCTCAGATAAGAAAAATAATTCTTTATGTAACATTGATCAGCCAGTAAGTTTGTCAATTTGGGCTGAAGCCTGATTCTCTTTAAATAAACCTGTTTTTTCCATTGTCTGGAAGAGGAAAGAGGAGGGTTTTTGTTTAGTTTGTCAGTTGAATTACTACTTTGACTTGCTCTGAACTTCAAGACAGGAATTGTGCAACCTCCCTAAACTGTCTCCTCTCAGCCCTTGTTATTGAAAACACAAAACCACAGAATTCTAAAGCAAAACTCTCCCCTTGCTTCCTTAAATCCATTGACTTTTGTCTGTAGCATTTTATTCTGGACATTCTCAAGCCCCATCACACAATGTGTGATCACTTCACTCGGAGTGAAGTGAAAAGTGACTGGAGGCTGGGTGTGATAATGGAGTCTGAGGCAGTAGGATCAAGAGTTCCAGGCCATGGCTCAAAAGACCAAAAATCCTATGTTCTCCCTCATATGTGGACATTAGATCAAGGGCAAACACAACAAGGGGATTGGACTATGAGCACATGATAAAAGCTTTAGCACACAAGGGAGGGGTGAGGATAGGTAAGACACCTAAAAAACTAGCTAGCATTTGTAGCCCTTAATGCAGAGAAACTAAAGCAGATACCTTAAAGCAACTGAGGCCAATAGGAAAAGGGGACCAGGAACTAGAGAAAAGGTTAGATCAAAAAGAATTAACCTAGAAGGTAATACCCACGCACAGGAAATCAATGTGAGTCAATGCCCTGTATAGCTGTCCTTATCTCAACCAGCAAAACCCCTTGTTCCTTCCTATTATTGCTTATACTCTCTCTACAACAAAATTAGAGATAAGGGCAAAATAGTTTCTGCGGGGTATTGAGGGGGGGAGCGGGAGGGGGTGGAGTGGGTGGTAAGGGAGGGGGTGGGGGCAAGGGGGAGTAATGAACCAAGCCTTGTATGCACATATGAATAATAAAAGAAAAATGAAAAAAAAAAAAAAAGAGTTCCAGGCCAGCCTGGGTACATAGTGAGACCCTGTCTCAAAAAAAAGTATAATCTCACATCTTTCTTCAGGAGCGATGTGTGCTGTAAATGCTGGAACATATGGAACAGTGCAAACCATCTTTAGCAGTTTGCCTTCCTTAAGCTGGATTTTCAGATCAATAAACTGTACAAATTGCATTAATGCATAGAGCTGCCACGGGTTATTATCTCACTGTTCCGTAGTAGTATCATAGTTGATGGACCCTTGTGACCTTCAGATGTCTTTTACAGAGCAGTCCATGAGAACAGTGCTAAATGTAAGTAAGCCTTTGTGCACTTGGGCAACCCTGCAGCTTCACACAACACAGTGCTTTTCTTAGTTTGATTGCCTCCCCTCATCCCCTTATTTCTTGATATTTTGTAATACTCCCACACATCTGTGTAGTATGTAAATATTTATTCAACTCTTTTACAGTTATACCCAAGAATTAAACCAAGACAAAGGAGCTTGGCCTGAAGCTCTACAGATTTTTAGTTGAATTAATCTCTATTATGACTTAAGAAGAAATAATATGATAGCTTTGGCAAAAATTTCACAAGACTTATTTCAATGATAACATTGCTTGAAAGCAATAAAGAATGCGCTCTTGAAGAAAATGAAGGATTGAAGAGTTCACCGGTGCTGGAGGACACTGCAGAAGGAAATGAGTAAGCAGACCATGCTGTGCTAGGGCAGATCCACTCCAGTGACACTCAGAAAGAAGTACAACGACAGCCATGTTTGCAGCAAGAAATAGGACCAGTTGTTGGGCTGCTGGGAAATCTGCTTCCCCTCCTGCCTGGGGTGTTTTCAGCACTGCATCTACACCAGACCTCCTGCAGGAAAGGACCAGTGCCATCAGGCCCCATCTCCATCGTCCCTCAGCACCAGCAGGCTCCCCAACTCTTGAGAGGACTTGACAGTGTTCGACAGTCATACTGTCAGTGGAGAACTGTTAGCTGGTTGTCAGCAAGCAATAACTATTATATGAGTTCTGTAGCAGCTGAAGAATTATGCAGATAGTTGAAATATTGAACTAAGCTCCACTACCTAATCTAAATTAGATTTAGAATCTTGTTTTTAGGATGAATTTTAATCTGTATTTATTGTCTTTTGTATCTTGAAAATTAGAGACTTGCTTCAGATTTACTCATATTTGTCAAGATCATAGCTGACTTTAAAACAATTGTAATAAAATGAAACTTTATGACTGTAAACCACTTAATGCTGTTCATTTTTTGATCATTAATAACCTTGTTTAAAAGCCACAAACCATTGGGATATCTTACACAGCTGAAAAGTAATGAGCTGCTTAATGCAAATGTATGTTCTATAATAAGATTGCTCGTCATGTGATTAGGGAAATATTTCTTACAGAAAACTCTGCAGTTCCTGAATTTGGATGGTGTTTTTTTTTTTGCTGTTAAGATCTTGGTGATCATGGTAATGGAAGCCTACATGTACCTTTTTTGTTAATGCCACCAAGTTCATGTTACTCATTTTGCTCAGTGGAGCTATAATTTAATAGAAAATACAGAGAAAAACCAGTGGTCATTTTTATTTAACATTTTCTTCTTTTTAGCAGCACTGGGGTTTGAGCTCAGGACCTCACACTTGCTAGGCAGGTAGCTTACTGCTTGAGCCACTCTGCCAGTCCTTTTTTGTGATGGGTTTTTTCAAGATAGTGTTTCGAGAACTATTTGCCTGGAGCTGTCTTTAAACTGCTATCCTCCTGATCTCTGCCTCCAGAGTAGCTAGGGTTACAGGCGTGAGCAACCTGCGCCTGGCTACTTAACATTTTTATGAGTAGCTAAATTCTAACAAGGAAGGTAGGTGACAGAAAGAAAGCATACCTTCTTTTTCAGATAATGGAGAAAGATGACAGCATAAATTACCGGTCAGAAGACATACACAACAGGTAAAATTCTAAATCCCAGTTGTATCCCTGTCCCTGGTTATTCAATCCACTCATCTAGGTACTGTTGTGAGGGATTTTTCAGATTTAATTAAGTTCCCTAATCAGCAGTTAGCTTGGATTATTCACATGGACCCAGTGTGATCACGTGAGCTCTTCAAAAGCAGAAAAGGAAAGGAATGCTGACGCCAAAGGGAAATCAGCAAAATTTGGAGTGTGGAAGGACTCCATTGTTGGCTTTGTGAAGAGGGTCATGAACCAGGGAATTCAGAAGCTGAGAAAAGCCTCTGGCTGAAAGCCAGCAAGGAAACAGGAACCTCAGCCTTACTTGAACGCTGCCAATCTGCCTGGAGATGAATTCTGCATTTGCAGAAGGTTGCGTTCATGAAACTGGTGTTGGATCTGAATCTACAGAGCTGTAAGATAATGGGGATTTTTAAGCCACTACATTTGTATAAATAGTACAGCAGTGGCAGGAAGCAAGTACAACATGGATTCTAGAGCTGGGCTGTTGCACTTCACTATCCATTGTATAACCTTGCCAGGACACTTGGCCTCCCTGAGATTTGTCCTCTTAATATACTTGGGGTGTAATGCCATTACCTCTGCGTACTTCAGTTACTGAGGGAAGCCATACTAAGTGCTAAACATGAAGGCACTTGGTAAATTAAGGAATGATGCAAATGTATGAAAAGGGAAGACACGAAAATTAGGTAACCATGATCTCAGTTTTATATTCCTCAGTCCTAAACTCAGGACACCATTTGTTTTTATTTTATTTTATTTTATTTTTTACTTATTTTGATATCAAAATATCGTATCAAAGCTCCTCATGGAAACATTTAAAAGTTTAGGAAGAGGTGGGGGTTTGGGGGAGAGATCACTCTAGAGGCACTATTAACACTTGGGCATATTTCTTTGGTCTTGTCTGCAACTTTTTGCATTACTAACGGCATGCTGTTCAAACAGTTCTGTGTATCTTCCAATTTATGTTTGACATTGCATAAGTATCAGCAAGATTTGCTGATAAGATGGCTATATAAGCTATCATTTATCTGATCTGTTAATGTTGAACATGTAGCTTGCTGTTTTTCAGTAATTGATGTATTCATATTTTTTATCATAGAATTTGTAGATTTTTGCAAAGTAAGGGAATGCAGCAACTGGAGGATGGGCCATGCTAAAAGGGAGAGTGTGTAAACTTTATACTCAGATTCTGTAGGCAGTGAGCTCCTGAGGAATTTTAACAGGCCATAGGGTGTGGACTGGGGTGTCATATGAAGGGAGTGGAAGGAAACTAGGGGAATGTAGGTGCTTAAAGACAGGGAATAGCGAATACAGGTAAAGGCAGCAGCAAGAACCTGCGAGATGAGGGCTGGTAGGTGTTCATAGAATTGGCATTAGGAGGTGATGAGTGGTCATAAAAAGCAATTTTAGAAGACAAATGAGAAATTTCGGGCCCTTGGCTGTGGAAGGAAGGACGGGCGGTGGGGAGAGGTGTGTGATAGTACTTCAGGATGTGATAAGCACGGAGGGATTCAAATGCTGCAGGAAGGAGCTGTGGGAACACAAGCCAGGGGAGTGGGCCTAATTGATAGACAGCCTGAGATCTCAATTCAGGGCAGAGGTGGGGGAGGCCAAGGCATAGGTTAGGTGAGTTCCCACTGTCAAAAAGGTCAGGGGAGTTCATTTATTTCCTTGTGAATTGGGCCCAGAAATTTTATATTATGTGGGAATACTCGGGATGCTTGGTGCTTTCCTTCTGCTGCTTTTTCAGTGATAAGTATTTACCTTATTTCTTTTTTAGCCATCTCTTCTATTGCAACCAAAACACTGAAGTCATCAGCAGGGTCATCTCTGCAGATTCAGTGGAGGACGGGTGTGACCCCAGCACAGCAGTCCTGGTCTGGATTAGCCTCTGCTCTTCTTCCCCACTCTGCCCTGAGTCTGAGACTTGTCCCCTCCCTCAGCATCAAGAGCAGGTCCCTCTTGTCCTCACACCCACCTCCTCCAGCTGGGCCATGTTGCCTGCATTTCAGTCACTTTACTCAATGCCTTCAACCCCAGTCCTTCCCCGATGCTCCCCTTGCCCCTAAGACAGTCCAAACCCCTAGCCTGAAACCTGTTCTGCTGAACAGATCACAACACCCTAGTGGATTGGGATTGCTCCCTATTCATACTCTCCAACCTACTCTGGGCCCTCAGAGTCCACACAGGAAGTGGGAAGAGCTTCAACTCATTCTAGTTATATTTGGGAAGTCCATCTACTAGTCTTCTCAGGAAATAGCATTTGCTTATCAAGCTGTCTTACATCTTTGCCATATGGTTTTTCATGGATCACCAGCAGCAGACCAGTGACTAAATTTGAGTGTCTTCTCAGCTTCCTTGCTGGTTCTCTATACCAGTGGGAACTGACCAAAGTGACACTGACCTGGCAAGTAATGCAGGGAACATCCTTAGGGGCACCTAAGTCTCTATGCCTCCTTAAAAGAGACCAATAGGCAGAAGAAATTAGAGCTGCCCTTTATGGTCAAATAATCAGTTTCTGAACTAGATTTAAAATTGTCTAGTTCTACATTTAATTATAGGTAAGATGCCTTCTGGATATGTGAATTTAGAGGTAGTATACCTTGTTAAGGCAGAAACAAGTTATAGTGTGTGCTTACAAATCATCCCACTGGGGCTACCCTCCAGGAAGACAAACACAGCATGGTGTGGTTGCATGGGGACAATTCTTTATTTAACAATACAGTTGGAAGAAGATAAGGCAACAAGGCAATATCTTTTATAATGCTAGCATTTTCCCAAGGTCAGGAAGCCAGCTTGTATTGTGTCAGCAAGAGCTCCTGAGCCATGTCCTTCCTAACTGTGCACAATCATTCGTGGTGGTGAAGTACATAAAGCTCTGAGGTGGCCTGCAGCTCGTTTTGTGCCAGTTTGCAAACTGGACACCTGGTTGTGGTACTTGTTCTGTTGGTCATGAATCTCTTCAGTATTTATAAGAATAAATGCTTAAGGCCAAATATGCCCAAGGACTTGAGGTTAAGACCTCAGTCAATATTGTTAACATAAAACCTTTAACCTGCCTCTTGTTAAACCCAAATGATGGAGTTGTGCTTTCTCTCCTGCACTTTCTTTTCTTTTTAATGGACACAGGTTCTTGCTGTATTAGGCCAGGCTGGTGTTGAACTTGTGTAGCCAGGCTGACCTTGAATTCATGATCCTCCTGTCTCAGCCTCCTGAGTACTGGGATTACAGGTGTGCACCACCACTCCTGGCTCTCTGACTCTTTGGATGCCTTAATAATACTACTTCACAATGCATGGCATTTCCCACTTTTGCTCAGGGGAAACGGCAGTTCCCAGGCCACTATGTGGCAGATGCCACAGTTGCATTTTTAAACTTAAAATTGTTTTAAATATTCCCAGCAAGGGCCCTTTGGCCTTGGAGATCGATTTAATGTTTGCTCAGCTATGAAGCACATCCCTGCATTTCTTCCTGATTTAATATTGCTATGAACAGGAAAGTGTGTAAAAGTAAAAAGTGTATACTATTTACAGACTTAAAGCTTTCTTAGAGCTTCTCAAGGGTTAAGCAACTCACTTGCATTTAGTATGATAGGCAAATCTTTTACTTTGATATGTGGAAGTTCTGCTACCTCAAATAGATAGTATTATTTTCAGTTATAATCATCAGTTAAAGCAAATGTTCCCATAACTTTAAGGCCCAGATATAAAGGGTGTGTCTGGAAGTTTAGTCCTTGGCTAATTTTCTTTCACAAGAAGTCTTCAAGAAGATCGGTTGTAACTTCAAAGTACTGAAAAACAGAGCCACTGTGGGAAGAAAGAAGCCATTTCAGGGAGTGTTTTTAAAGTTAAAGTCTATTTAAGCACCTCTGGGTTAATTCTGGAAGACACTGTTATTATGCCAGGAAATCTTACCAAGGATTAAGTACCAGTATACTAATTCAACTTTTTTTTTCTACCTAACTTCTGAACTCACTTTTCCCAGGTGAGCAGACTGTGTGAATCAGGTGGTCACTTCAGGGTTGACTGAATACATGAAGGGTGAAATTCAAACAACTTACAAGCTAGCATTTTCACATTTCTACTTCAGGGCATCACATCAGAAGTTAGTTTAGGGGTCGATTTCCAGAAACCACTGGCTTTCAGCCTTGGTTCTATATTGCAGTGATATTCAAACTTTTTTTTTTTTAAATCACATTATTGTACTGGGGGTATATTGTGACATTTTAAAAAATGCTTACAATATACCTTAGTTAAATTCACCCCTTCATCATTTCCTTCATACCCTCTCCTCCATGATAGGGGAACTTTAAATCATATTCTGATTGAATTAGCCTGAACTTTTACTAAGCCTCTAGGGTGATAAAATCCAAAGCCAAAGTTGAAAATTACTATGAACAACAGGGAATCTTCTTTGGCAAAGGTTACCAGAGGTGGGATCTCTTAAGAGCCTGTAAAAGGTGAGTGAAAGCCAGTGCCTGTTGTGTCTCAGAGGAAACAAGGGAGTGGACTGAGTAGGCAAGCCACTATGGGTAGACAGGGAAGGAGGGCAGTGATGGGGGAGTAGGAACCCCAGCAGGAATGATAAAGAGGCTAGAGTTTCCAGAACGTGACACATGGCATGCTTCATGGCACAGTTGTATTGACTCCTTTAGATGGCCATCTCAGGGCAGGGGTATTGATTGCCTAGGCAATGCATAGTTTTAAAAAGTTGGTGTTATCTGTAGCATTGGATAAGGGCATTTTATAAGGCATAAAAGCAGAGTGAAAAAGCAGAGGACGTGCTGGCTTCCTCCAGAGTTCAAAATTCAAGGAAGAGAATTTCCAGACCCTTAGCCCTGTCCTCCTCTTGTTCCTTGTGTCACATGGGGATAGAACTTCAGAGATGGGCACTGGCTGGAGTTCCAGACCCTGGAGCATACAAGGATATATGGGTATGGCAAACCTATTTTCTATTATTTTAGAGGGAGGATGAGGTAGAGAAAAGCAACTTTCTCTGAATTTTAAGTATATCTGTCCTAAGAATGACAGATATTCCAAAAACCCAACTTGAATTTCATCTAAAGGTTTCTTCACAAGCTAATCAGCAGTTCTTTTTTCTAAGTGATCCAGTAGCCACCCAGTCTTCTTTAACCTCGTGCTATGCTCCAGTCAAAGTTCTTAAGAAGAGGGAGCCAAGTGTGTTTTCTTGGACTTGAGAAATAACCACAAGTGAAAGTACATTGTGGGATTTTTATAACCGTTTACAGACTTATCCTCAATGGGCCACAAAAAATTTAAAAGCAAAACTTTAAAAAGCAGGTCACCCAAGTAGCAGCCTGTTTTGCCCCCATCTTTTCCCAAGCCTCTTAAGACTGAGGAGGTTGGTGTGAGCTGCTGACTTACAGAGATAAGGTCGAGCTGTATTGTTCCAGTGTTCTCTGGATCCAGCTGCTTAAATATCTCTGTGGAGGGAGAAAAAAGGGGATGTTATAAGTGAGTGAACTGAAACACAGATCACATTGTCCTCTTCCCCAGTTTGCCATCTGATTTCATTGAATGCTATAAGCTATTCTTTCTTCCCTCTTCTCCCAAATTAATAAAGAGGGAATTTCATTCTCAGCTCCTGAACAGGCATGTGTCTGGGTCAGGTGACTGCACCTATGGTGAAAGACAGGCTGCTGTAATACCAAAAGAACTGAAACGGGCCTTCCCAAATGTCCACGTACTGAATAGTGTTTCCAGTCGAACCAAACACCGCACAAAGTTATTAAAATCAATGATGAGCTGGTCATCTGCAAACCGAGCAACGATGACTTGGTGGAGTTGACAGGGCAGCTTGAAACCTGAAGGTAAGAGAACAAAGGAACCATGGCTAAGTATTAGATTGCAGCTCTGTTCACAGGTGGTGGAGCTCATGTGACACTCTAAATTACAATTACAATTGGTTTTGTCTTAGGTTGCTTGATTGGTTTCACTTTGCAAAGCCAGTACTTTCTGCTGTTACTTTTGTTTCCAAACTGTTGGCTTTCACCCTGTTTCCTTACTAACACCTAAGACTTGTCTGTTCTTTTGCCATGATCATGCTGCTTTAAGTCTTCCATTTTTTGTTTAGTTAGTTCTGAATCATCTTAGAGATCAGTTTCTTTCTGGATATAGGTAGTAGAAACTGTTTGTGGTAAACTAATACTAATTCTTCCCTTGTATATAGTACAGGCACTTTTAATGGGTCCATGGCTGCCTAGCATGAAGACTGCATTTTCTAGCTTCCCTTGTAGACCCTGAAGCCTTGGGACAAAGTTCTGGCCACAGACTGTAGAAGTGATGGGTGTGTAAGGAGCCCTTCTACTGTTAACCTGTTGGCAGCATGTGATGCTAGTGACAAGTTGTCCCAGGTCCCTAAGGGGTAGTGAAGCAATGTGATAAGGAGCCATCCCAGCCTTGGACTGCTTGAGATGTTACCTCGTTTAAGCCACTATTTGGGGGATCTGCTGTAGCTAACAGAATGAAAATGTTGCCTTATTTGCCCCAAAGCACTTCAGTCTCCTACTCTGCTGTCTTCCCCAAATTCATCCTACTTATTGATTTGTAATTCTGCTGGGTATTCCCAGAAGTGTTGAGCTGAGACTTTTTTGGAGGGGGCAGTATTAAGGTTCAAACTTAGGACTTTAGGCAGGAATTCTATCCCTACACTAGGTCTCTAGCTCTTTTTGAGAGATCTCACTTTTTGCTCAAGCCAGTCTGGACAGCAATCCTATTTTATGCTTCCTCAGGTGTGCACCACAATGCCCAGCTTTTTTTCGTTGAGGTAGGGGGTCTTAAAAACTTTAGTTCCTCTGTATCTTGGCCTCTCAAGTAGCTAGGCTTATAGGTGTGAGCCACCACTCCCGGCTGAGCTGAGACATTTTGTTTCTACCTAACCTACTCTGCAGCAGAAAGGAAGAACATAGGAGTAGGGGTGGTGGGGACACAGCTGAGGGTCATCTTGGCCTGCTTGCCCTGCCAGGCTGCTCCAAATGGAACTTGGATTCAGGAAGGTATTGCGGGCAGAGCCTCTGGGATTGCATTCAATTTGACCAGTTAGTCTTTAAGAGGGAAATGAGAAGGGTGTGGTTGTTTAGAGCAGCACCAGCTTTACGTCATAGCTTGCCAATCAACCTTTATATTACACAGTACAGAATAAATGTTCAATATTCCATACAGACAGCAAACAAAGGAACGGAGACATGACTATGAAGTCTTACCTGCTTCTTCTAATGCTTTCCGCATCTCATAGGAATTCATGGTACCAGACCTGTCAACGTCGATTTCCCGGTAAATTTTCTGGAACATGCAAAATAGTTATAAGAACCATGACCCAAAGCAAAGCAGGCAGCAAGTTACTTCTGTGGTATGTGCTAAGTGAGGATAAAGTTCTTCCAGCTCTGTGCTTCTAGTTTGCCCTTGCTAGAATGGCCCTTTGTTTTTAAATAAAGTATCTAATAGTATTTATGCCCATCCAATTAACTAGCCATAGGCCCATGTTATTGTCTTATGTAATTTTTATACTTGAAGGGTCACAAATCCAAACTACATGGGTCATATAGCCTTTTTAAGAGACCTTGATGGTGTTCCCATTTCTGGTCACTGACCAGGTGAAGACAGGGAATAGATCACCTAACTTGCAAAGTCCTGGTATTGTTTGTTTTTACATTTGCCCACCCAGATCTTTATTCATTCTGCGTTCATCATGAATAAAATCCCCCCTCCCCTTGGAAATGTTCCTCTACCCTCCAGAGGAATTGCTGCATCTTAAGGTTATGCCTAGAATATATTCCCTGACACAGATCCACCCACTTCCCCACAGGCCCTCCTGGGATCCTACTTGATATTTCTGAATCTTCGTCCAGAGAATGTAGAACTCCTTCAGCCCCAGCTTGCCGCTCCCATCCTCCTGTCCTCAGTTAAGGAAAGCTCCTGGACTCTGCAGTCATTTGGGCATGGTGTCACCTGGTTCGTTCCTTTAACTGGATCTTCTGGTCATCATAGCACATGCACAGGGAGGTTTTGCAGAAAGACCCTTTGCTTTTCACTTGCCAAACCTCCTTTAAAGGTTGGAGGAAAGGTGAGATAAGACACCTGCCTTCCTGTAGACTCTGGTTATTTTGACCCAGGTCCTGCTTAAAAGAAGCTGTGGGATGATGTGCAGAGGGTTTCAGATGGCTAGGCTCTTGCCATTGGGGGAGTATTATTTGCAATATTTTTCAGAGGCTCTGAGAGAGTAGCTGCAGAATGGGTGCATGCCATGAGTCCATTAGATAAAACATCATAGAAGATTGGACTGTCCCTTGCCATCAGTTCTCACTGAGCATCAGAAACAAGTGGGGAACCATGATTAGTCTGCTTTGGGGACAGGTGGGTGGCCCAGGAAGGAACCAGAGTAAAAGGAAAGGAGAATGTTCACGGAGGCAGGACTTTACCTATAAATCTAGAGGAAAATCTTTTTTTTTTTTAGAGGAAAATCTTAATCAAAGAAACAGATTTACATAAGAAACAGTAATAGGAAGAATGTCCTAGGGGCAATAGTGGACACATTGTTGCTTTGGAAACAACCCAGCCTGCTTTGGGCAGAGATGCTGATGAACTGTCAGGGATTTCCTTTACCAACTGCTACAGGCTGGCTGCTCTGCACTCCGAGCCATGGACATGGGTGGAGAGGTGGCATCTCACTGTCCCTCATTTGAGGGTTCTCTATTTCCCTAGGAAGAGAGGCTGTGTAGATGAGAGTCCTAGAGCCGCGCACAAGTCTGGCTATTGTAGGGGCAGGGGCAATGTGCTGGAACTTTCTGGAGTAAGAATTTAAACTTCCCAGTCTCTGTTCTCTGGAGCACATCAAAGGATACATCTAGCATGTCCACCATGATTTTGCAGGTCTCGATGCTGAAGCCATCTGACTTGATATCTTGGCCTAAAAGATAAAGTAAGTATGACAGAAAAATCGTCCAAAGCAGTGCTGTCCACTAGAACTTTCTACAAATTTGGAAGTGTCCTTTCTCTGTGCCCTCCACTATAATTAATAGTCACTTAAATTGCTTTAAATAGCCACATGTGGCAATGGGCTGCCATATTGGGACAGCACAGAGGATGTGTTATATTTGCCTGGTTTCTTTGTATATTTGTCATGGACAAACCATCTTCTAATAAGAGCATTTTAAATACATAAGTAAAAGAATAATGAATGACTACACCTTTTGGTTTTGTTTGTTTAAGACAGGGTCTGTGTAGCCCAGGCAGGCCTCAAACTTGAGCTCCTTCTGCCTTAGCCTCCTAAGTACTGGGATTACAGGTGTGTGCCACTTTTAAGTGCTCACAGGATGGAAAGCTGCTTGTGGTTGCTGGGCAAGGAAAAACAAATCCAGAGGGCACATGCATTTGTTGTCGGCTGTGACCTGTGAGAGGCAGATGGTTGTTTCAGCTGTCCACTTGCAGGCATGTATGGAGTGTTGGTGTCCCCTGAGGACTTAGGATCTGTTCAGGAGCCGCTGTGCTCTGCTAGGTGAGTCGGCAGGTGATATGAGACCCTTGTCACACATATGAATCTGGTTCTCCACAGACTTCATGAGGAGCAACTCTTTTGGTTAATGGGTTTCCCCTTGTGAAATGGCAGAACATAGTCTGCACAGGTCCAAACTGTCCTTCTGGGTATCAACCCCTTCTTGGGTGTGGACATGAGGCTGTGTGTGTGCTGGGCCCTTGGGCAGAAGGCTGGAGTCACCAGGTAGGCAAGGGAGGGGGCTGTGCTCAGAGGCACATGTGAAGCAAATGTTCATCCCCCATCCAGGAGCAGGCTGAACCAAGCAAGCCTTGACTTGTCCTCACCCTCCAGCTGCGTCTGAAGAACCTGTGACCTCACTTGTGCCTAAACAAGGATAAACACCATCTTCTTGTTTCCCCCATGTTGGAGGAGGGAGAGTGCATGCCGAGGCCCACCCTGGGGAAGCCCTGCATTGGATTAACAGCTGGCTATCCTGACTCTCCTGGCTGAGTGCTCTGTGAATCACGGATGCTCTAATGCAACCAGGAGTTCTGAGGCCACAGGCAGAGGGCAGTTATCTCTGCTCTCTCTGAAGTGCACATATATTGGGATGGAAGATCCAGTTGGCCCTAGACTTTTTTTGGCTACAAAAGGAGAATTTATTTTTATTTCCAGGGGTTGGTAAGGTAAGTGCCCATCTGGTCTGTTGTCAGAGAGAATGGCAACCCTTAAAGTCCACAGGATTTCTTGTGATGATCCCTAGGGCTGATGTTCAGGATATCACACTGTGTACTGATTTCTGACCCAGATACTGTATACAGCTCTGTTCCTTGGATGCTATCTTACCAAAAGCTGCATGACTCTTATAAATAATTTGATGGGAAAAAGTATATTTCTCCCTCCTCCCCAGTGGTGATCAATATTAAAGGAATTGAACAATCAATTCTTTGATATATTTTTGTTTAAGAAATAGTTATAAGCCAGGTATGGTAGCACATGTCTGTAATCTTATCACTCTAAGGCTGAGGCAGGAGGATCATGAGTTTGAGGCCAGCCTGGCCTACGTAGTGGGACCCTGTCTCAAAAAAATAAAAAAGGAAGGAAGGAAAGAAGAAGAGAACGAAGGGAGGGAGGGAGAGAGGGAGGGAGGGAGGGAGGGAGGAAGGAAGGAAGGGAGAGTTATATGCTGAAAAAGTTTATGAGAATCATGGCTCCACCTCATTCTCAAGACCCTATCCACTTTTACCCACTTTTTATGGGTCTCTCTAGCCTGGACTGAGAGCAGACATTTCCCAAGTCTTGAATTTGTTGGTTTGGATCTCAAGCTAAAGCGAAGTGATGTTTCTTCCAATAAAGCAATGGTGGGATGAAGCTCATTTAAATATAAATGAAAGATGAGACATTTCTCTGAGCTTGAGTCTAAGAGGGTCCATTTATTTTCCATTCTGGCCAATTAATGAGACATCATCACTTACAACGTCAACGATTCGCTCCTAAACACAGCCAGAGGACATGGAAACTCAGGACTGTGTTCCAGTTCCCATTATTTGAGCTGACTTAGCCTTTTCTTACCAACTAGTTGCCATAATAGCCACTATCAACCACTGAGAAAAGGTTAAATCATAGTATGTCTGTCTATTTTGCAGATAAGGAAAATAAGAACCAGAGGTTATATAACTTGGTTTAAATAACAGAGCTAGTAGGTAGAGGAACCCTGTATTTGATCTTTGGTCTCTAGACCCTACAAAACTCTGTACTTTTTTATCCTATCACTCAGATCCTCCTCTAGCCAATTCTTTGGCAGTGAGAGTAGTGGCAATGGCAGTATTTACGTACAGTGAGATGGTTCAGCCATAGCAGCCAACACATGGAAGGAGTTGCCTCATATCCACAGGGGTTAGAGCAAGATGAGAGATTTGCAGGGAGGGGACACTTACGCTTTGCTAGAATTCTTCTCAGGATGGTCTGTAGCTCAAAGGCAGAGATCTCTGCATCCTGTGGACAATGAGAGCATTGTTGTTGGCTCCCTATGAGAGCTGGGTAAAGCACAGCCACACCTTAAGATGGGTCTTGCTTGCATTTCTGGCCCATGTTTTGGATAGTTTTAAAATTCAGCATGCTGTAGGTAGAGTTCAGTCACTATGTCTCTGCCGTTGGGAATCTGTTCATGGTCTTGCTAAACCTTGTTCTGGCAGGTCATTGTCTTGTCTGGGATGCCTTCTTCATCCTTAACAACTCAGATCTGAGGCTTCCTGCAACACTGCTTAAAACCAGCTGTCTCCAAGAGAGCCCAGCCCTTCTCTGTGGCCATTATGTGGGGCTCCCCAGAAATGGTTCAGGTATCTCTGTTCACTTAGGCATATTTGTATAAGCAAGGGACAGGCCCCAGTGTTTAAAACCAAGATTGCCTGTCGTCATTCCTGCCTTCCTGGTGTGGGGGTGTGTGACTTAATCACTGGGAAGTAGGCAGGTGGGGGGGCATGCAGCAGGTAGCACCTAGTTTTAGCACTTTGACAAGTCTCTGACTAAGCAAAGGGGGACCCAGATGTGCTTGGTGGTGACACTGCAGAGAGCTAAATTCCTCCACATAATGAAGGGTGACTTTGCTTTTGGAGTTGTTGGAAAGAACGAGGGCTGAACAACCCTGTACTAGGCCTGGAAGGCTGAGGGATTATTTCAAGAACAGGAAGTCATACTCTATTGTAAGCTGCTTGCATTTCAGGGGTCTTGAAACCCTTTCATCTCCCCCAAGTATTTTTATGGGAATCAAGGATAAGGGGCTGAGTTTCATGCCTCATTTGGCATGGGACAGAGGAAATAAAACAGCCTCAAGCTGAGACTAAGAATCCTAAGGAAGGAAGAACAGAGCCAGAGCTGATCTGGAACACATATGGAGGCCCTAGCAGTGTGTGGAAGGCTGAGACCAAGGCAGGTTTGAGCTAAGATCCAGGCTATGTCTAACAATTCTTTGCCTTTGTTCAGTTTGTTTCCTTTCCCTCTTAAACCAAAGTCTCCTCTAGGACAAACACTGTCTTCCCTTTATGTCAGCACAGAATCTGGGGGACACCTACCTCCCCTGCCAGTTGAGCAAACAGCCGCCTGAAGCCATCATCAATGTCTTCCTCACTGACATCAATCTGGAAGATGAGGCACAGAAACAGGAAACAGTGGGTCAAAGTGAAGAGTGACAGCAAGGTGTCACCCTCTCTTTCACGGCAATGTCCCTTCCCCCTTCAGAATTTCCTATATCTACCTCTTGCTCAGACTGGAATTCTAAGGGTATTGGGCTTTGGAATAAAGGACACTGTGGAGAATTAGTGAAAGATTTTTTTTTTCCTAGTTATAACACAAGAGGGAATGCAAGCTATGTGGGAAGGAATTACACATTAATTTCTTATACAGGTATCTTTAATATCCAACCAAAGTGACCTTTTATGATCTACCCTAGCAGGAATTCGAAGTGTAAAGACTAACTGGAATGTTAAGGAAGGACTTTGGTCGTAGCTAGTGAGCACAGTCTATGAGGTCCTTAGAAACTCCCACTGTGGACGTAAGACAAGCACCAAGCTTTAGCCACTGATGAGTCCATTATGGAAAGCCACCTCAAGTCCCCAGAGAGAGGGAAGAGAACCCCTTTCTCTGTTTGGTGCTGTCCTTCCTCTACTTGGATTTGTTAAGACTGGGCCTTTAACCTTTGGTTAAAGCTCTTCAGGATTTACCATTGAACTACATTCTTAGAACTCTAGGAAACCTGAGAAATCCTGTTATCCTGCATGTCCATTTTATAGATGAGAAAAGCCAGACCAGCAAGGGGAGTAACAAGTACACTGAGTACACCTACTCAGTGTAGCGCTGGTGTCCTGTCCTTCCTTACAATACCCACCACGCATGTGGGTGAACTCTCCCCTAATATAGCAGGAGAAGGACTGGCCCTGGCCCCCAGTGCAGCTCTGGTCATATGGGGAGCTGACTCTTAGATCCCCAGCTCAGGGCTGTATCCTCAATTTCAACCCGTGTTCACGGGGTCCAAGGAGCCTCCCAAACCCTTGTGGTCCTTTTTTGTTCCTCTGCTCTCTGGGCGTCTAGGACAGAGTAAGTGGAATTAAGGAGTTACAAGTACCTCTTCAACGCTGGCCTCGATTTCATCATCCACAGCTCTGGAAATAGAAGGAAATTATGTGTCACTGAAAGGCAGGTGAGGGTAAATAGGAAGTACTGCAGAAATCAGCAAGAGCCAGGTGCTGATGGCTCACACCTGTAATCCTAGCTACTGGGGAGGCAGAGATCAGGATGATAGTGGTTCAAAGACAACCCTGGGCAAATAGTTCGCAAGACCCTATCTTAAAAAACCCAACGCAAGCTAGGACTGGCAGAGTGGTTTAAGTGTAGAGTGAGGCCCTAAGTTCAAACCCCAGTACCACCAAAACATCCCCACAAAAATCAGCAAGAGGTGGGCAGTGGGGATCTCTGCATCCCAGGTTTCTGGTGTAAGGTGTCCCCCATATAGCAGAAATTGGGGCAGAAATGATGTCTGTCAGTCTTCAGTCTTTCTCAAATAGCATACTTCCCATGTCATGTAGAGCTGGCATTCTACATAACTCACTCAGCTTCTGGCCTCAAGAGACAGCTTTTTAAAAAAAAAAAAAAATTTTTTTTTTTCCAATGCTGGAGATCCAACCAAGGGCCTTGCCCATGTTAGGCAAGTCCTCTACCACTGAGCTACATTCAAGTCCCAAGGAATAGCCTTGAACTTTCATTTAGAACATTTTCTGCCACTGCTAAGACCTTCCTAGTGAGAATCGCCTCATATAAACCACTGCCTAGTTGTCCTGCTTCAGGCTGGAGAGGGGCAGTGTGGAGCCTGTGTGTAATTTCAACTGTGCTCAGGCAGAGGCTAGTTCATCCTACGCACAGTCCCTGTGCCCAGAGTGGGTCCTACTACTCCACTCAGGGTAGCTAAGCTTACGAGGGTTTTCCTTGAGTGTCTGGGGTCTTAAACTAGGCTATGAAGAGCCTGTCTGCAGGGCTGATCCCTCAGGAGAAAGGACAGAGGGACTTTCTAGTGCTGAGAACTGGAATATGGAACACTGGGCAGCTTTGAGGGGCAGGAAACACCCTGGAGAGAGCTGAGGGGACTAAGTCTTCCCTGGGACTGTGGCTGTGGCTGGTCGCAAGGGACAGGGTTTGACAACAGTGTCGTTCCACTAACACTGGGTCATGTTTCCATTTCTGTGTCAGTGGAGACTAACCTGACCACACCCGATTTCCTCCAGTGAGCTAAGAGGAAGCCTTCTTCCCCATGGTAATTTTTAGCAAAAGTAGAGAGTCTGCTGGGCACCTGTGGTCATGCCTGTAATCCTACCTACTCAGGAGGCAGAGATCAGGAGGATCTTGGTTCGAAGCCAGCCCAGGGAAATAGTTCATGAGACCCTATCTTGAAAAAAACCCATCACAAAAAAGGGCTGGTGGAGTGGCTCAAGGTGTAGACCCTGAGTTCAAGCCCCAGTACTGCAAAAATAAAATAAAATAAAATAAAAAATTAGAGAGCCTGACAATGGCAGGAGGGCTAGAGTCACACTCCAGGGACTTTTACTGGCTTGCAGTTGGATGGCATTGAAATTATATCTCTGTCATGTACTGTCTTGAGAAAGGCCATCCCCTGTTCTTCCTCCCACTCCCACTCCCTCTTCCTTCTGTGGGAACCGACATGCCAGGGGCTGACCTGAGCCCAGACCATTGGACACACTCTGTGGAGTCTTTGGATCCTTGGCACAAGGTACTCCAGCTATTCCCATCTGTAACCCAGGTTCCTCAGTCAGTGCCAGAGTCCCCGGAGCCTTTCCATGAACTTCCTTTTCCTTACCCAAGGTTGGATTCTGTCTCTGCCAATCAAGTATTCAAGTGAATTCACATGGTTGAGATAAGTGGCAAAAGTAGCAGAAGCCACTGTGAACTGAGGCCACAGGGACAGTGGCAGGAAATTGCAACGATATCAGCCAAAAAGAGTTCTCAAATAGCTGGGATCCAGACAGGATGTGGGGAAGGACCCTCGGAGACCCCATGACTACAGTAGTTGGAGGTTCTGGAGACTGGATCATCGAGGTTGTCGTACCCTTGGTGGCTCTTCTAGACCTCTGGCTTGGGGAAGCAAGGGTTATGCCAGCACTGCCCAGTGATCTCCAAATGGAGGGTATGAACTCACGGATAATTTAGTCTGGGCCATTAAAATGAAAATAACAATTTGATAATTCAGAGATATGACTGTGAAATTCAATTCTGTAAGTTACTCTCTGGCCACCCCTTTCCAGCTCAAAGTATCCTGGGGGGCTTTTTTCTTTGCTTCCCTAAGTAGAACACTAAAAATTCTTCAGAACACCCAGTCCCTACACTAACCTGTCAAAGCAGGGAATAGAAAAAGACACTGGTTTCCAGAGAAGTGAAGAACTGACCAGCGTCTGGGAAGAGGACAGGTTGGGCAGAAAAAGGGACCAAGCCACCTACTGGTAATCAGCCTTCTTTTCAGAGAAGATCCGGACGCAGAAGTCCCCATCCTTGTGGGGCTCAAACGTGGAGGGCACCAGGATATACTCCCCGGGGGGCAGCTTGAAGCGGTTGAGCACCTCACGGAGGTTGATGTAGGTGTCGGACCGCTCCCTGGCTCGAGTGGTGAGGAAAAAGTTTTTGCCAAGGTGGATATTGGTCTGCCCAGTTAACTGATGAATAAACAAAGAAATGGATGGGGGGAGGAGTGCAAAACAAGTGTTATTTTTACTTACTGAGAGAGAGAGAGAGAGAGATGATAGTAACATATCTGGATCACTTTGGATGAAAAGCTCTCCATCAAAAACAACCAGTGGCTACTGGGGAACTCAGAGGCATCAGCAACAGGAGACCCTATCCACCCGCCTCTGCAGAGATGCCATCTTTCCACATGGAGCCCTCAGTCATCTTCTAGGTGATGCTTAGTGGGGCTAGAGTACTCAAAGCAGGAATCTGGCTCAGTTCTATGTAGCGTATGGCATACTAAGAAAAGTAAAGGCGATGTTGGGCATGGTGGTGCATGTCTGTAATCCCAGCTACCTAGGAGGTGGCAGCAGGAGAATCACGAGTTCAAAACCAGCTCAGGCAAAGTTATTGAGATCCTGTCTCAAAAACAAAATAAAACCCAAAAAAGGACTGGGGGCATAGTTCAAGTAGTAGAGCACTTGCCTAATAAGCATGAGGCCCTGAGTTCAAACCCCATTACCACAAAAAAGTAAAGACAAGATCCAGGACAGAGAAGGGGGTCCAGATAAAACCCAAGGCTGAGGCCAGAACTCACATGCAGTGCCCAAGGAAGCCCAATGCTATGGGCCACACTGCCTTCCCATGAAAGAAGCGTGCTACGTATGGGTCCTGTATTCCCCACCCCGACTTACTAACTCGCCTTTAAAGTCACTGGCTACTGTGCATCTCGTCAGTTAAGAATAACTGTGGGCTTACTAAGTGCTCTGACATGATTAATTCGTGCCACAACAGCTCAGGGAGGTTGATGGCTGACCACTTTGACTGAAAAAGAAACTGAAGAGCAGAGAGCATAAGTCACTTGTCCCAAGTCAGACAGCCTGGGAAATGGGTCATGGTCTTCCTCTCGGTGCTCCCACCTTGGCTTACAGTCTTCCTGCTTGTTCTCGGAGCCACATGGGACTCCATGACAAGCCTCTGCAGCCTGAGGATTGGGGATTGTCTGCCTACACCCAAACGGTGCACAGGCTCTTCTGGGTCACAGGGAGGCAGTGAGCCCCACAGGGAATTCCCAGCATTCCTCATCCTGAGCTTAGCATAGCGAGATCCAGAACTGCAGCGACTCCACAGGGCTGCAGGGCCCGAGAGGGGGTGAGGACTTGCTCCCCAGCCACATCCCAAGCTCCACAGCACTTCTGAGCTCTGGCACTTTAAGGGTCATGCATGTTGGTGCCCTGAGCCCCCTGGGACAGGGCTGGCTTATGCCAGACGTACCTCCTCCGGAACCTGCAAAATAAAGGAAAACCACTTCAGATTCTGGGAGTTATAGTATGAAAATGCCAGCACCATGACTGTCTCCTTTGCGGTACCCTTGTCTCTGGAGCTCTAGTGTTGCCACTAAAACATAGTAATTGTTTTCCAACGAACTCAAAGCACTCCCACCACAATGGGAGGAGAAACAAGCCTCTTATGACCTGGCAATAGTGTCCTTACCACTACTCCCAATTAGAGAACAAGAAATGGGGATGGAGGTGAACAGGGCACTGGTGATTTATTCACAGTCACCAGCCAGCTGTGGCAAAGGCCACACTCCACCTCCCACCTGGGGAAAGCAGGGTTGACCTAGGCAGCACCAGGCCTCTGTCAGCCTCATTCAGTCTGTATTTCCTCAAGTAAGTCACTTCCCCTCTCCAGCCTCAGTTTCCTCATCTCTAAAACGAGACCAAATGATCACCAAAGTCCCTCCCAACTCTAAAAGACCATAACTGGATTTCTGAGTGTGTGTTGTGGCACAATTCAGCTTGCATTTTCCTTACGGCTACTCTGCCCTACGTCTGAAGTCCTTGGCTTCCATTTCAGAGACTAGGTGTCTGAAAATGTGTATTTTCACATCTTTTTTTTTTTTTGCTGCAGTACTGGGGCTTGAACTCAGAGACTACCTTGAGCCACTCCACCAGCCCTTTTTTTGTGAAGGGTTTTTTTGAAATAGGATCTCGCGGAACTATTTCCCTGGGTGGCCTTGAACCACGATCCTCCTGATCTCTGCCTCCTGAGTAGCTAGGATTACAGGCGTGAGCCACTGGCGCCTGACCATCTTCACATCTGATGGTGTTTGTCCACTTCCATTTCTCCGGAGGGTGGACAGGGCTGAGGTCAGTGGCCCGTTGGTGGAGCCACATAACCAGTGATGAGAGAGCACAGGGAGCCTTCTCCCTGACACCTTGTCTGAGTTCCCAGAGTGTGCTGGAAACCAGCTTGCTGGTAGTATTTGCCACCTCCCGTGGTGTAAGTACTTTCTCTGTGGCCATTTTCAGGCTGTCCAGGTGACTTCACTGAACATGGGGCTGGATTCCACCTGTCAAACCCCTGCCACCTGCCCTGGAGGTCTTCCTTGCTCCCTTCGCCTCTCACTGCCAAACAAGGTCATAGAAAGCTCTTTTCTGTGCTGCAGAGAGGGGCAGGGAAAGGGGCCCCACCCATCAGACCAGGTCTCCCAGCCCCAACCTGGCCCACAGCGTAAAAGGGGGAGGCAGCAATAATAAGGCTGCCCTCTGGCGCCTGCTGAGTGGGGCTTTGCTCTCACGTGGCTGGAATGAAAGAAGGACCCATGGGCCGCCAGAGTGTCTGTGGGGGCAGGGCTCTTGCCAGCAGAGCCCTAGGGGGCGCATAATGCCCCTTTGCTTTCCTGTCCTGAGCTCACAACTGCCTAGGCCAATGGCTTTCTTGGGCTCTGCCCAGTGGACCTGGTGGCTCAGTCTAGTCCTTACTATATTCCTTAGTGTGGGCCAGAAAATGCTGTTCTAGCTCAGGTCTCCTCATTTGTTGGAGTTTGGAGGGCCAACCAGAAAGCCAGGCCTGGGGGACGTGAAAAAGGGACATGGAGGCTATTTGAATATGTGGTACTCCCGGAGGCTGGCTCTGGGGGCCCAGGGGAGGGGTGGGAAGGCCCTGGAGACACAGACCAGCTTTGGAGACTTCTTGCGTGAGCTGCTGCTAAACTGAGTCAGGCTTGTGACTTTGCTTTTGCCTGGCTAAGGTCCCTGTCCATTGTCCCATCCTCAGTTCTGCCTCTGGGGTGGGTCTCCACACCAAGCTGAGACCAGCCAAGGGAGAAGGGAAGGGAGATGGAGCTCCACCCCTGCTCTGCCCACACCTCGTAGATGCCAAAGCCTATGGTGTGCATGTCCTCGCCCATCTTCCTCTGCCGCCGCCGGTGCTTCTGGATGAGGCCCACCAGGAAGGTGCAGCCACTCTCCCCGTCCTCCTGGTCCTCGTCCTCCTCCTCTAGCTTGATCACATACTGAGGGTTCATCCAGAAGGTGTCTGCAGCAGAGAGGGGCAAAAGGGCCCAGCACTGAGCAGCTGTGCATGGGGGTGGAAGAGCTCTGTGCTAGGCCCTGGACTCAGGGCTGGAGGTTGCTGGGAGATGGATGAAAAGGGGGAAGATGGAGGGAGACAGGAGCAAAGGAACCAGGGTGGGAGAGGACTGCAGCCCCTGGCAGGATGGGCCAGTGGAGGTGGGCTTTGGAGGCAGGACGGCCTGACCTTAAGGAGGAAATAGTTCCTTGGGTGACTTCTGAAGTTCTTCGGAAGGTTCACCAACCCTGGGGCAGAGTGTAGGGAAAGGCTGTTGAGCTCCTGGCACAGTCTGAGTCTCGCTAGGACCTAAATTAGGAACTTCCCTTGCAGTTCTCTTTTGCCCTTGGGCTGGCTTGTCTTGGTGCCCCCTGGTGGTACTTTCTCCACACAAGGCTCTAAGAGGGAGGTCAGAGGCCTGGGAAGAGTGGGCGCTGGTGTCTTTTCCCTACACACTAGTTAGCAACTACCTCTCAGTAAACTCAGAGGCCAGGGACACCCTGTGTGCAATTTCAGTTTCTGTGTCCCTCCGGCCTGACCCCTTACCTACCCCTGTGGTATCTCTAACCTCCTATTCTCAAAAGCCATTTTCAGGAAGGATCTAAGAAAGTCCTATTTGAAGGTAATTATGCTGAGTACCTGCCATACCTAATAGAACACCTCCAGTGGTGGAATTGAGGGCATCACTTTGTGTGGAATGACATCTATGGCCCCACAGGCTGCCATCTGCTTTTATAAATTTTTATTAGCACACAGCTATATGTCCATTCATTTATGTATGGCTGCTTTTGGACTACCACAGTGGAGGTGAGCAGATGCCGTAGGGATTGGGTGGTCCACAGGGCCAAAAGTATATACTGTCTGGTCCTTGAGATAGTGTTTGCCCACCCTGATCTAAAGGGTAGGACAGGTATATTCCCAGTGGTGGCCTCTGGAACTGCCACTTGTTGACTGCATTCTTGAACTGGAGGTACTGGTCAGCTAGTCCCAGTCTGGCTACTTGCTCTGTGGGCCTGGTACACCACAGAGCCTCAAGTTCCTCATCTGCAACAGAGGATAGAAATATTACTATGACCTGCTACCAGAGTAAGAGTGACTGCACATTCAGACTGCCTGGGTTCAAATCCCAGCTAGTTGTGTGGTCTTGGGCAAGTCACTTACCCTCTCTAAGCCTCAGTCCCCTGGTCTTAAAGATGGAGATGATAATAAAGAAGTTTGTTGGGAAGATTAAATGGAACCACATACATAAAGGCCCTAGGACAGTTCTTAGTGCCCAATGTATGCTCCATAATTGGCGGGTGTCATCAGGATCAGAGAATTTCTAAGGGAGGAAGTATGGGGATTAAGATAGAGGCTCAGGGAGAACGAAGAGAGCCATGGCCCCAGTGAGTGGAAGCTGGGCGTCGCATGTATACCTGGATAGAGCAAGGGTGCCATGACTCCAGTGATGGAAGCACTTACTGGGGTAGTTCCTGCAGCCCCCTGCAGTGGAGCCCCGCCTCCAGTTCCCGTCCATCTTGGTGAGCTTCCACTTCTTGTAGGTATCACTGGTGAGGGTGTCAGGGGTCAGGTTGCAGATCTCTAGGCGGGAGTAGTGCCGCAGGAAGTCACCAAAAGACATCCTGGCAAAAGCAGAGACAGAGTATCCCAGGTTTCAGCAGGACATAGTGGCCAGACTTGATCTTCCATTAAGGCCAGATTAGGAGCCAGTCAAGGGCAGGCGGAGCAGGAGCATGGGGCCCAATGGTGGATACCAGGTCCAGAATCAGAAGGCCCAAATTCCAGTCCTGGCACTGTCACTCTTTAGCTTGGAGACTTTGATCAAAGCATTGAACCCTCTCTGAGGTCAGAGCTCTCATCTATAAAAATGGGAGCCATGAATATCAGAGGAGACAACATGAGGGTAAACTGTGAGTTGTGTCCAAGTAGATAATCCTCAAAGAGCCCCACACACGGACTATGAGTCCATTGCAGCCCACTAAGGGTCCTTCTTCTTAAGGGGCTGGGATGACTCTAGGAAGTAGGGGAGAAAGGCCCCATCTTTCCACTGTTTGTTCTTGGAGTCTGAACATTACAGTTGCTCAGGTTGTCAACCCCACAGTTGAGATGGACAAATTGAAGAGGTTTAAGACCTTTTGTTGTTTTGTTTTGGTGGTACTGAGGTTTGAACTTAGGGTCTTGAAGCTGACTAGGCAGGAGTTTTTATACTTCAGCTATGCCTCTCAGCCCTAAGAATTTTTTTGTTCAAGGTCTTACAGTGAGTTTAAAACAACAAAGCCAAAAGCCCATGCTGATGTGTCCTTCTGGCCAACAGTCTTGTTAGCAATTTTCCAGATGCATCTTTCCCTGGAGTCTATTCTTACCAGAATTCCCCATCTTCATGTCGTATGGTCAGCCTTTCTCTCACCTCAGGGTCGACAGTGTTCCAGTTTGGGCAGCTGGAAAGCAGAATGAGTGTATGATGGTGACTTCTCCCTGAAACCCATCAAAGTTGAGGAACAGGACTCCCACTCTCACCTCTGAGGACCCAGACCCCAGAAAGGGAGGAGTCACCCTCAGCTGGCTTAGGGGCCCACTGAAGTGTTTACAAAGCACTTGAAAGAGATCAGAACCCTGTGCAGGTACAAACAAGGGAGCAAGGCAAGAAGATTTGTTCTCTTGGAAGATGGTGCAAGGAAGAGTTCAGAAACTAAACACAGCCCATTAGTGAGAGATGAAGGAGCATCACTTGCCCAAGCTGAGATGGGCCTGGCAACTCTTTAAGGGGCAACTGAAAATACGACAAGGAGCCCTTCATCCCAGCCTCTGCAGTCCACCTGGAAGGAAGCCTTGGCAGGTATTCTTCTGCCGAGACTGAGGCTGTCTGAGACAGGCCAGGGAAGCAGTGGAAGAACTCAAGGTACCAGTCTGGGAAAGGGCAGGAGGACCCAGGGGGAGAAGCTCAATCAAGCATTTACCCCAAACAGTTGAAGGCCTAACAGCAGATCAACAAAGGGACACGGTATATTCTTGGTACAAAGTTTGTAGCCTAGGGGATAAGGATGCATTTTTTCCCTGGAGGTCCAATAGCAGGGTGGATTTGAGCTGGGGAAGGGATGGACCATGAGGTAAGAAAAGGATGCACGTAGGTCTGGATGCACGTACTCCAGGGTGTTGGAGTAATGTCTTCGTGCAGAGACCTTCCAAGGGCCACTGCCCACAGCCCACTTGGTGTGGCCGGTGCCCTCAGAGCCTGTTTCTCAGCACACCATGGTGTCTCCTCTCTCCATTTTAGCAGGGTCTCCTAGCAGAATGCACCTCCAGCCCACCCACACCCTGTACCCGCCTCACTTGTCATTCCACTTGCCGGTCCACTCTACTTCTCCCCAGGGATTTCGGATCCGGATCAGTTTCTGGAGGCTTCCTGCACTTTCAACCTGAAGAATCCAATGAAAGAAGAGGGCGAAGCTGAGTGCCAGCCAGGCCTGGAGGGACTCAGACCCAAATCTGCCTTCAGCACGAGTGAAGGGGAGTGGATCCATGTGTGAAGAAGGATCATGAAGGGTGGAGGGGGCTTGACCCCCAGACCCCTCCCTGCTGCCCAGCTTTGGAAAATGTAAATTAAAGCTCCCAGGATCTAGTTCCTGGAGGAATGGGGCTTTTCAATCTTTGTTATCAGCCTGAGGTACAAACACACTTGTTCTGTGGTCTGTGACTGGCACGTCACCCATACACCTTGGTAATTAACTGACATAGTATGTACTTTTGTCATGCTCAGAAAAGCTATACCCCTTGCTGAAAGAACATGGATGAAAACAAGCAGATGCAACATGTGAATCTTGTTTTGTTTTGAGACAGGATCTCAAAACTGGCCTGTTGCCCAGGCTAGTCCTGAACTCTTGGGTCAAGCAATACTGCTGCCTCAGCCTCCTGAGTAGCTGGGACCACGGCTGCTCCGCCAGGCCCAGCTAGCGTGTGAATCTTGACTGAATCCTGATTGGGGTTGGGGTGGGAGACTGGGCCTCTAGAAAGAACATTTTGAGCAGCTGGGAAAATGTAACTGTGGACTGTATATTAGATGAAGTAACACTGGGCATGACCGCAATGGACTCATGTAAGAACATGTCCTTATTAATAAGTAAGTTTTTAAGTTTTTAGAGGTGAAGGGTCATAGCCTCTGTAATGTACTTGCAAAAGGCTCAGATAAAAAGTTCACACCACAGATAAAGCAGATGTGGCAAAATGTTGACAACTGTTGAATCTAGGCCATAGGGTTTGGATGTTTATTATGCTGTCGTTTCAACTTTTCTGTAGTCTTGAAAATTGTCAATATAAAAAAAGATGTGTGGCGCTATGATCCTCAACAAAGCTGCCCATCATTCTATTCCTTTTCAATGGCGTCTTAATAAATCTTTGCTTTTTCTTAAAAAAAAAAAAAAGATGTGGTGGGTGGTTGAAAAAACCAAGTTAGTAGGATTGGGGGCACCTGCTCAGTGGAAGAGCACCTGCTCAGCAGATGCAGGCCCTGGATTTGATCCCTAGTTAAAAATAAATGAAAATAAGGATGAAAAAAATAAAAGAAAGAATGAAAGTTAAATAAAAGAATACTGGACTTTCAGAGGACCTGGAGTCAGGTCTGGGTTTGGTACTTAACAGTGAACTTGAACTGCTCAGTAACATTTATGGTAATAACGTTAGCAAAGGAAGTGCAGCTCCCCACTTGCATACAATGTCAGGCAGGTGAGCATGTCACAGATAACTTGGTTGAATCAGCACAACTACCTCACCAAATAATATTATTCTTTCCAGTTTAAGTATGAGGACATGAAGCAAGTCCAAGGAACTTGCCAGACCACACGTCTGACAAAAGTCAGAGTCACGCTTGAACTCTGGAATTTGTGAGATCAAATTCAAAAGTATTACAAGGATGAAAAGCACTGGTAAAGAGAATACTGCAACTCTACAGCAGGACGGAATGCCTGGAGCCTCCCCTGCCGCCAGCAGGGGGCAGTGCGGCGCCGGGTCGGGGCGGGCTGGGGCAGGGACCGTGATCCCGTGACTGCCTAAACTTAAGGAACGCGGGGCCGCATTCTGGGCAACCACCATTAGGGGAGCAGGACCCCCGTCCTCTGCGTCCGCTATTACCTCTTCGGCTCCGGTGACCGAGTACGCGTGTCCCTTCACCAGCTTCTGGTACGTGACGGCCTCCGAGTCCGCGGCGCTGGTGATCTGCAAACACAGCCAAGTCAGTCGCCGCCGCGCGGGGGCTCACTCCCGTCCTACAAAGGGACAACGACACCCCGGCACAGGGATCGAACCCCGGGGAGCAGGCGCAGAGCTGCGCTTTCTGGCACCCTGAGGAGCCCGATGCCGCTCTCAGATGCTGAACCGCCAGGAGCCACCAGAGATAATAAGGCGACCTGTGACCCTCTGGGAGAGGGTGCACACGCATTCACAGATGTCTGCTGGCTGGGGAGGGCGCGAAGGGGCGCACCCTGGAGAGAGGGCCCTCGGGCGGCCTAGGGGCTCAGGACAGACATCCAGGCAGCATCGGTGGGGCCAGATGCACTCATCGCCCCATGCTCCCAGGTCTGGCTCAGTCCAAGCTGCATGGCTTATAGGCTGGGATCGTTTCCAGCCCGAGTTCAAATGACTTTCCCATCTGTTGGGCGCGGTCTTTGTCTAGAGACTCCGGGGGACAAAACATCCTTCACCTCCCATCCCCTGGGAGGTTTGCCACCAAAGGTATTTTGAGAAAATGGTTCCTTCCAGTGTCCTCCCTAACGCCCATCAACCCTGGGACAGAGTGAGGGGAAGGTTGTGCCCTGTAGGTGGAGAAGGTGTCAGGACCAGCAGAGAGCAGAGAGCTCTGTGGTCTGGGGCAGGGGTGATTCAAGCAGGGTTAGAATGGGAAATGGGCTGGGGAGGGAAGGGCTGGAGGCTCCATCACCCCACCAATTGCACCCCATACAGCAGGGCTGTTGCCTAGCAACCCCTGGCTTCAGGCGAGGAGCAACATGGTGGGCAAGGAATGACTTAATGTCATCAGTCTGGGCAGCCGCATTCCTCAGGCACCTTCTGGGCCTCCCTTCAGCTACAGCACACTGGGGTGACTTTAAGGAGAACAGCACCAACTTACGTCGATAGAGCAGCCAAGGAGAGAGCCCTTCTGCAGAGCCTTCTGGATGATCTTGAACAGGTTGGGAGGAGGCTTCTTCAACTCATACCACTCAGCAATGCCTCCGGTGAAGTCCTCGAAGCCCTCGGTGGTGGCACCCCCCGAGAGCGCTTCATAGCATCCATTGACCCTACAAGAGGGGAATGCATGCTGCCACTATCACTGACACAGTGGGTACTGTCATCCCTTAAAGTACCACCCTGTCCCACTCCTGTGCCCCTCCCTGGTTGGAGCTCATGGGACCCTCCGCTCTCATTCTTTTTGGGGTACCCAGGAAGGCAAAGTCTATCTCCACAGTCACCATTTCCATGGCACTTTGGGAAGTACCCACACAACCTTAGAGTTGATAGGACTTAAGTGACAAGCTGATTCGGTCTCCAGCATCGATTTTTTTCTACATCCTGACCCGCAAGGGAAGGTCTGTTAATTGGCTGTTTGGCATTTACAGCTTAAAGTAAAAGACAACAATTCAATAGCGCAAGCAGGTTCCTGGCTCCTGACTACTGATGCTGGGCTCTGGGGACTTTCTAACTCTAGAATTTGAGCTCTGGGCCCCAGATTCTCTCTGCTGGGGATGTGAACCCTTCCTGGCACAGGGCTGTAAGGAACAGAAAGCCACTTTCTGCCTTACACACAGCCCGGCCAGCTGAGGTTGGAGAGGGTTGTCATGCTGGGCCTGGAACAAGCTCAATTCTGGACAAGCTGAGCAGAAAGCAGTTGAAAGGAGTATGGAGAAAACAATTGTCACCATATTTCCTGGACAAGGAATCATCCTACTCAATAGTGAGCAGTTTTCCCCATTAGCAAAACTCTGCTACTTACAGTTGATAAAAATGTAATAGGACCTGCCAAGGTGGCAGAGTTCCTTCTCAAAACCAGCACAATCAGCACCATAACTTTTCCCAGTGCATTTGGCTAAAAATGGCAGTAGCTGTCATTGATCAGTGCATCATGAGGCCAGGCACCTGCCTACAGTAGCTCCTTGAATTTAGAACTCAATTTGGGCCAAAGTAGCCCTTTTATAGAACAGGCAGTCCCCTCAAAATAGTCCTTGAAGAGCCCCTGTTGTTTTGGAGCTGCCCCAGGGCAGCAGGGGTCATGGTGTTTGGGGAGGACACAGTCACTTACTTGGCATAGGCCTTCTCCAACAGAGCGCTCCAGAACTCACTCCCCTCGGCTGAGTGCACAAAGAGCAGCTCCCCGTCCTTGGTGGGTAGTCTATCATCCACCACCACCTCCACCCACTCGCCGTACTGCCAGAACTGCAGGACAAGGGGGTTAAGGGACATGGAGGCGTTGGAAGCAGCCCTTGGACTCCAAGCCTCAGCCACCTCTGGCTACCTCCTTCCCTGCCTCTTGCTGTGGGTCCTCTGAGCCCATCCTCGGAGGAGATGCCCCTTCAGTCTTCTATGGCAGGCAAGACTTCAGGAAGCAAGTGAGGACAGAGGCTTACCTGTGTCTCTTTTAAACATATTATTTCTCATTTAATACCATGAAAGGAGGAAATTTTTAACATTTTATCTCAAGCCTCAAATAATCAACTTTAAAAAGAACCTTGGGAATGACTTCCTGAACATCCAACTCCACCCACCTCTTTGCATGTCTTGAGGCCCCCCATGGCTATTGGGGTGGGGGGGTTCCCACATCATGGGCAGGTTGGGAGCTTCCTCTGCAGAACAGCGCTGGTCTTACGAGCCTGCTGACACCAGGGACTGAGGGGACTCAGTCAAGGAATTTAGACCCATTGAGAAGAAACCTGTGTCATCCCTTAGGTTACCTGGAAGCGGAAGATCCCGGCGTAGTTTTCCTGGAAGCTCTGGTCTAGGGGAACCACTCGGGCCAGGATTTCTTCATTCAAGGTAAGGGAGGCAATGGCTGCCAGCAGCCAGCAATCACCTGAGGACCCAGTGTAAAGAGCTCTGATCAGGTCTCAGTACCTGGAGAAGGTTGTCTCATCGCTGCCTCGGGGGGCTTGAAGTCTAAGACAATCCATGACCAGAAGAGCAGAATTATATTCCTCATCCTAGTGTGAGGTCAGAGGGCTTGGGAGCTATTTTAAAGACAATACTGAGGAAGGAATGTTTTGTTGGGTCAGTGGCCAAGTAGAGAAGGGAAGTTCATTCCCTAGAAGATCCAGAACTCTGGGTGGCTGAACTGTGTCTTTGGTCACAGGAGCTGTGACATGTGGAGTGAATGAACCTGACTGGGCAGCAGAGGCTCCTGTGGAAAGAGGCTTTAAAGGGGAGCTTGATGAGAGGGAGAAAATGTAGTGATGGATGGGAAGGGGTGGAATGCTGCACACTCCCTGGAGGAGGGGTTCAGAGACAAGGAGTGGATGTCATTAGGCAGCGTGACCACAGGAGTATAAGTTGTGCAGATGGAATGTGTAAAGAGCGCAGCCTTCATCCGCCCACAGCAGGTGCTCAGCACAGCCAGCACCATGATCATTTCTGGCAGTTATAAGCAACTGGGTTCAGCAACAGCACAGGATGGTTTGCAGGGAGGGATCATGTTTTCCACAAAATACCAACAAGGGGCTGAGGCTAGGAAGAGGATGAGGAGGTTTTCTTCAGTCCCATGGTGATAATAAGAAATCTTCTCAGTGAGCTTAATCCATTGTCAGATTTATTTTTACTAATTGTCAAGTTTCTAAAAGTTTACTGAGTCCTTCAAATTTTGGTTGACTTCTTAGCATCCTGATGGTTCCTGAACTAGATTGTCCTGTTGACATGTAGATGTGTTTACACACAGCAGTTTGAGGCCCGGATATGCTATGACAAATCTGTGCTGAGTGGAGACAAATCCTCCCTAGTTACTCAGGAGGTAACCAAAGGAAGTTAGATCCTTTTAGTCCTGAAATTGTGTGGGTGATGCTGTGCTATGAATTCACCTGTAGTTTTCCACTCAGCAGTCATTTGCTTTCCTAGTAACACTGAGGCCCTCCTTGCAGTCTCAGTCTGCACATTTCAGTGTGGTGGCATTAGCTCTGCCCCCAATTCCAGAGCAGGCCTGGGGCAACCTATGTAATATTCATCTGGCTTCAGTGGAAGACTTGGGGAATGTGCTGTGACCCAGCCAGAGTCAATGAGGGGTAGAGAGCCTTAACTGGGCCTTCTGGGAGAATGGGCAGGTACCCTTTTCTATACTGAGTCTATAAAGATGCATAGTCTGTTGGGTTATACCATCCTGCTTCTGAGGAGGGGCTGCCTTCTGAAAATGGAGCCAGTGCAAAGGAAGAGTGACTGAGAGATGTAGAGCGAGAAACCAGTCCTGGCAATGACTATTACTGAGTCCCTGAATCAAGCTATACCTGAAGCCAGTCACACCTGCCTCTGCACTTTTTGTGATAACTTCCCTGTTTCCTTACCCGTGATGCAGGGCTGCAAGTTCGTGCTGCTATACTGCCAAGGGAATGTGGGCAAGAGCCATTACCAACTGAGTGCTTTGTATGTGGAATGTTAATTTCATTATTTCACTTACTCCATGCAATAGCGCCCACCTCCATGTTAAAACGCAGTATAACAAGGCTTAGAGAGCTCACATGCACTGCCAACAAACTCCAGGTAAGGGAAATGAGACCTGTCAGATCTCAGCAGCAACCTTCGGGGTCAGTGAGGCCATATAAAAACCAAACTAGAGACTGTCTGACATGTTGAGGCTATGAAATCAGAGGAGAAATTTAGCAGTGATTATTTTTAACTCTGTCTAGGCAGAAGAAGCTGATGAGTCCCTGAATGGTGGGGATGGAAATCTATCTGTAGGAGATTTTCCACTTAATTTCCACAGGGTGCTCATATACACCTGGTGATCAAAAAGACAGATGACCTTCCCACCTTTTGGAGCATCTGTTGCTCTCCCACTCCAACCATATCATACTCTCCATCCCTCAGGCCCAGCTCACCAGGTGTGCTGGGGTCATCAAAGCCTCTTTTTCAATCCAATCCTCTTCCTCAAACCTCAGGTCATTCCATGGCTTTAGTACATCTTTGGGAACCAGGCATGCCTGAGATTCTTATTGTCATTCAACTTACTTGAGATTTTCTAGGACTTTTGTGAACTGTTTAGATTTGAGTCTGTCCGCAACACACACAGGCAGAAAGGCTAGTGGGATTTTGGTAATAGGAGTCCTGAATCAATTACTCCTACAGTTCCTATACAATTTCCCATCAAATCCCTGAGCATCCTCCTAGGAGCTGCCCAGGTCTGTCTGATCTCAGAGTGGCTATCTCAATGTCCTCCCTGTTCTGTTTCCCTTGGTCCCAAGAACCCATGCTTTTATATCAGGCATATGTATACAACATAAAGTATGTCTGTGGGACCAGTCAATTGCTCTTATAATCTTGGAGGTCACAGCTGACCACACTGCTATTTAGGGGTCAATGACTCTGACCAAATGCATGAAGGATTGGCTGCAGTAGTGGGACTTTTTTTTGTGTGTAGGTCATATATCTAGGTCAATGTTCATATTAGATCTGTGTACCTATTTCAGGTTACTGTTCACCACCAGTCCTGGGTGCTCTTGCCACAACCCAGAAGTCAGTGGCCATGTTTCATGGCTTTCTGCTCTCTTCCTTCATTTCCCAGAAGCAAACCTACTGCCTATCCTGGTGGGAGGTCTCTTGTCTCTTCATTCCTTGCTAACTTATTTCCTCTGAAAGGATTCATGCTCCTAGGATGCTCCCTGGGTGATGGAACTGTGCGCTAGACTAAGTTACCTGGAAGGGGCAGGGTCTGGACTTTCCACGTCTAGCCTATGTCCTTTGCACCAGCAGCAACTTAAAACATAGAACATTTGTGTAATATTTTAAAGTCGACAAAGAACATTTTACACCTTTTATTTGAATTTCACATAAATCTTATGATTATTGTTATTTTTAATCACTTTCTGGGATGAAGCAGATAAAGCTCAAGAAGTCTATGGAGTAGAAAAATGGCAGGTCGTGCGTCCAAATCCTAGGTTTTGTTTAAGAGCAATACCTTGCTGGGTGCCACTGGCTCACACCTGTAATCCTAGCTACTCAGGAGGCAGAGATCATGGTTCAAAGCCAATTCAGGCAAATGGTTTTTGAGACTCTATCTTGAAAAAAACCCATTACAAAAAAGGGCTGGTGGAGTGGCTCAAGGTGTAGGTCCTGAGTTCAAACCCCAGTACCACAAAAAAAACCTCCACAATAATACCTTGATAGTGACTGATTTTTTTCACTAAGGAGAGACCCACTGGGAACAACCAACTGTAATTCAAATTTAAAACTAGGGAGGAATGTACTAGCAGCTCCTTTAAATTCTGTATTTTATTAACCTAATACCCACTGGTTCACAAAATATTAAAACATGTCACCTATCTAATACAGGGTAATTCACCATGAGAAAAGGAAGGTTTGTCGTTGCACAGGCAAGACAATAATACTGAGATCACAGAGGGCAAAAGGATCCAAGTTATATGCATTTTCTGTTTTGTTTTATTGAGACAGGGTCTTGCTATATAGCCCAGGCTGGCCTTGAACAAGATCCTTCTACCCCAGCCTCCATAGTGCTGGGATTGTAGGCACACACCACCAAGCCTAGCTCATGTTATATGCATTTTATAGTCAAAGATTCAAGCTGTTTTCCAAATTCTGGAGTTGAGTGAGGGAGCCTTAGTGGTCACAAGAAGAATGTCTTGATTTCCAATAAGGTGGAAGCACTTGAAGTCTTACTTCAAATTGTATCCTTAACTTTCTCTCTCATGCCAATCAGCAAAATATTTTGAACCAAGTTGGGAAGCTCGTTACTCAGCTAATTTTTTTTTTTAATTTCTTTGAATATCTGTTCACAGAAGCTTTCCAGAAACAAGATCTGCACAGAGATTACAGTAGTTTGCATTCACAAAGGCTTGTGATGTATCAGGCCCTGTACTAAATGTTTCATTCATATTATTTCAGTATCATTTCATTTCATTGGCACAGAACAGTTCAGGGTTCATGCTTTCAGCACCCTATTTCATAGCTGGCACACAGGTTTAGGGGTTGAGTGGTTCACCCCAAAGGCCCCGGCTCGTGAATGCTCATCACCTTTGCTTGTGCATTAAAGCTTTTAATGTATAACCTACCTGATCTATTTTGGCAAATAAACTGGTGTAATTTAGAATTCACCTGATTCAAAAAGGATGTTGTCCTAGTACCCTTGTCCTTGAGAAGTGACCCGATTTTGTGTCAGCATCTGCAGTGCTCACTCTAGTGGATGGGCCACATCCACGAGCACGTTTCTATTATACAACTTCACCAGCCGCAGACCCACCCTTCCCTGCTGAGTGTTCAAGTCCTTGGTTCTCCCCATTAAGGTTAGAGTCTACCTCCCCTGAAGGAATTGATGGAAACACCTATCTTCTAGATAATCACACAGTGACTTGTTCCTGGACAGATGCCCTAGTTGGAGAAGTCCACCCACATCTCTCAACAAAGCCTGTTTGGGAGAGTTACAACTAGGTCTGGATAAAACCGCCTGCCTGTTCGGGAGGGGCCTGATAACCAGATTAACTCAAATACTACAAAGAACTTATGGCTCTAGCTGGTTTTAGCAGGAAAGCCCCAGAGGGTGACATTCAATGACTGAGGCCTCTCCTGGAATGCTGTCACATGACTGGGGCTTGAAAAAACAAAGAAGTTCCAGTTTTCACATCTGTAAGAGACTCTGGACTTTAGCAACTAGTATGTCCCCTGTGCGTTTGTTTTGGCTCTGCACTCCAGTCATACAAGATGAAACTGGCAGAAGGGAGGGTGAAATGGCTATCCGGACCGTGGCGCGCCTCGGTTGTGTACCTCCAACCATCCAAACTCCTGCCTTCTTCTCCTGGTGGGCTTTCCGGTTGTCATGCAGGTACAAAGTCGATCTTTGTTTGGTTATCTGTGCATGGACAT